AAAAAACTTTGGAAAATTTTGTGAAAAACTTGATTTTTCTCAAAAACCACGTGTTCGTCATACTTCCGTTTGTGTAGGTCTTCACAAGCACAACCAAAGTTACTAATTTCTTTTTTATATTAAAGATTACATCAAAAGCTATAACTTTTGCATACATGTCGTATAATTTTAACAAAGTTTTGGTAGTGAAAAAAATTTTTTTTATAAAAAAAACACCAATTTTTTGACAAAAATCGCTGTAGTGCTCCAGGGATACCCATGGTAGTGGAATTTTATTTCACATTTAGAAAGCTCTCTGGATATGCTATCAATTAATGCAGTAAAATGAACAAGTGTTCTCTTGGCAAAGAGCACTTTTTTGACTCTGAAAGTCGTATGTCGAGCAAGGTCAAAAAAGAAAAATAATCATAAAAATTTCAGTTTTAAGTAAAATTTAATTTTTTTAAGTTAGATTGATAGATCTTTTTAAAACGCGTCTTTTGAGTATAAATATGTCATAGTTTTGTCAAGTTTCATGATCAGTTTTTTAAAAAAATAGTTTTTTTCAAAAAAAAACTTGAAAAATAAAGTATTTGACTTTAGAATTTCATAAAATGCATTCTTTTTAACATTTTTTTCACTATTTTGTCTAGTTTTGCTCCTCGTTTTTTCCTAAACATAAATCAATAAGAACTTAACATAATTGAAGCCATTTGGAGGTTAAATTGAGTTAAAAATCGTTTAAAATTTTTGTATTTCTTAAATAGTTCTTTACACAAGTATCTAAGATATAAAGTGTTGCATAGTTTTGAAAAGGTATTAAAATTTCCAATATGTTAACATGAAAATTTTAGGAAAATTTTCAAGTAATATAGTCAATTTGGGTAAAAAACGCATTTTATATATGCTAGTTTTTAATGTTTTTCGTTTTTCTCAGCAAAGACTTTATGAAAAACTCTCAAAGTTTGCACACTTATTTGTTATATAAATGTTAATGACTCGTATAAGTTTTGGAATTTTCTATTGAGTTTTTCATGAGTTCTCCAAATCTGAAATTTTCAATATTAAAAATCCTTTTTTCTCAATAATTCCGATTTTTTATTTATAAATAAATATCTTATTTTGTTTCATTTTTCAATATCTTTTCATTGATATGTAACAATCTACGAAAAAAATAAGACTAGCGAGAAATCAATAAAAAAAGTGTCAAAAATTTATGAAAATTCTACGCTATTTTAATTTTTTAGCATTTTCTGGTTAATTTTATTAAGTTTTGTAAGAGTGTTATACCTTTTTGCAAATTTATAGCTTAAGACTTTCATCTGCTTTCATCCATTAAAATTCGTATGAGTCAACGATAAGCACAACTGAAGTTAAATAAGCTTCACGTTGGCGCAACCAAAAATTTTGAATTTTTTAAAATCAAATTATTTAAAAGCTTTAAATTAAATCTTCAGGCTGCTATTAAATACATGAAACATTTATAACAAAACTAAATGAAAAAGTTTAATATTATAGCTCAAATAGCATTAAAATTAATATCTGGTTTTCTTCATATGGAACTGTCTTTTGTCGCCAACGTGAAGCTTATTTAACTTCAGTTGTGCTTATCGTAAACTCATACGAATTTTAGTGGATGAAAGCAGATGAAAGTCTTAAGCTATAAATTTGCAAAAAGGTATAACACTCTTACAAAACTTAATAAAATTAACCAGAAAATGCTAAAAAATTAAAATAGCGTAGAATTTTCATAAATTTTTGACACTTTTTTTAATGATTTCTCGCTAGTCTTATTTTTTTCGTAGATTGTTACATATCAATGAAAAGATATTGAAAAATGAAACAAAATAAGATATTTATTTATAAATAAAAAATCGGAATTATTGAGAAAAAAGGATTTTTAATATTGAAAATTTCAGATTTGGAGAACTCATGAAAAACTCAATAGAAAATTCCAAAACTTATACGAGTCATTAACATTTATATAACAAATAAGTGTGCAAACTTTGAGAGTTTTTCATAAAGTCTTTGCTGAGAAAAACGAAAAACATTAAAAACTAGCATATATAAAATGCGTTTTTTACCCAAATTGACTATATTACTTGAAAATTTTCATGTTAACATATTGGAAATTTTAATACCTTTTCAAAACTATGCAACACTTTATATCTTAGATACTTGTGTAAAGAACTATTTAAGAAATACAAAAATTTTAAACGATTTTTAACTCAATTTAACCTCCAAATGGCTTCAATTATGTTAAGTTCTTATTGATTTATGTTTAGGAAAAAACGAGGAGCAAAACTAGACAAAATAGTGAAAAAAATGTTAAAAAGAATGCATTTTATGAAATTCTAAAGTCAAATACTTTATTTTTCAAGTTTTTTTTTGAAAAAAACTATTTTTTTAAAAAACTGATCATGAAACTTGACAAAACTATGACATATTTATACTCAAAAGACGCGTTTTAAAAAGATCTATCAATCTAACTTAAAAAAATTAAATTTTACTTAAAACTGAAATTTTTATGATTATTTTTCTTTTTTGACCTTGCTCGACATACGACTTTCAGAGTCAAAAAAGTGCTCTTTGCCAAGAGAACACTTGTTCATTTTACTGCATTAATTGATAGCATATCCAGAGAGCTTTCTAAATGTGAAATAAAATTCCACTACCATGGGTATCCCTGGAGCACTACAGCGATTTTTGTCAAAAAATTGGTGTTTTTTTTATAAAAAAAATTTTTTTCACTACCAAAACTTTGTTAAAATTATACGACATGTATGCAAAAGTTATAGCTTTTGATGTAATCTTTAATATAAAAAAGAAATTAGTAACTTTGGTTGTGCTTGTGAAGACCTACACAAACGGAAGTATGACGAACACGTGGTTTTTGAGAAAAATCAAGTTTTTCACAAAATTTTCCAAAGTTTTTTGCAATTGTTTATACCTTAAAATGAAGGAACTATTTAAAGCTATTACCAAAAAAAAATTGAAGGAGATTCATCCATCCAGTGACTGGTGAGAGCATTTTCAATGTAACGTGAAAATGGTCGTCTGACCAACTTTGAAGTGCCATATCTCGGACATGCTGTCGACTTAGGCAAAGTTTTAAGGACGTAAATGTAGGACAGAATAAGGACTATCATATAAGTTGTAGAAATAATTTTTGGAAAAATTTTCCATTTCTGGCCCATAGTGCAAAGTGGGGTTATTAATAAATGATGTCTATCGTTTAGTGGGGAAAACGTACGAGAAAGAATTTTTCAAAATTGAAATTGTGGGTAAGGAGGTTTAAAAATTCCATTTTCTAATGGAAATTATTAGTCAAAGACCCCAAAAGACATCGCATAAATAGTTTGACTTAAAATCTTCATTGAACTTTTCTCATAATGAAAGAAAAATGCATTCACAGACATAAAGACACAGATAAATTCCCCAAACAGCTTGCTTTCATCGAAACGACGCATTAAGAAAGGAAAATAAACAATAATAATATTTTTATTCACTTTACGATTCAATCATAAACTTCTGCATCCCACTTTTCTTTTTCCTCTAAATACATTTCGCTATTCATGTATGCTTACATGCTTATAATGAAAGCAAATTTAAAAGGAAAACATGAACTTTGACAAATCACTGAGTAGGCAAATAAGCATTATTATTTATATTCCTTCCTGTACCCATTTGTAGTTTTCTACAAATTAGTCATCACTTATGATGGATTAAAATTAATGTGAACTACTTTTTTATTATGCTTATGACACAAATATTTCGAGAGTACGCCATTCATTTAATAACTACCGAGTAATATGTTCAATATGCTTACACATTTCATCGATCACATCATCAGCTTCACACAATTACTTACGTCATGCATAATTGAATATAAAATATATTGTGTGCGATACATTATTAAAGAGTATAATGAATAAATATATAAGAGCTCTTAAATGGTAAAGATTTTTTTTCTCATCATCGTTATTGAGATATTCTTTACGATTTTTCATGGCCTTTTTGTAATTGAGTATGACTACTGTCAGAGGATTGACTGACTGACTTAATCTTGAAACAGCAAATTAAATATTTATGCAAATAAGACAGTCTATTGAGATTAAATGAGTTGGAATGGGAACGTAGAACTTGACATGGAAAGAATACGTACGTTATTCAACGTATTGAGTTTGGTTGATTTAAGCAGGGCTTTATTATGTTGACTTTGAGCTTTGTGGAATGAAAATAAAATATTATACGTACGTGAAACTTGTACGTAATGGTTTGAACTTGTGTGCAAAACGTGTATGTTAAATTCATTAAATCTAAGCCTTGTACGTAAAACTTGGCACTTGTGTGCAGAACTTGTACGTAAAATATATTAAATCTGAAACGTGTATGTTCAACTTGTATTTAAAAATTAAATTACTGCAGATGCAGGTGTCTAATTGGTTCATTTACTACGTAACATCATTCTCTTATAAGGAATGTGTAAAAAGTTAACGAATCCTTATGCAACACCTAGTTATCCCTCAATTCATGCGAAATACTTGACTTAATAAGTATCTCAATTTTATATGCTCAATGCAAACGTATTTATATAAATTGATTAAATTCAATTACACATTGATCTAGAGCTAGTAATACAGAACACGTTCTAATACATTCTAGCACATTCTTTCCTAATATGTATTTGCTACTTAAATTAATTATTCTAAATTGAAAAATGCACTTCAATCATTCGCCTACAATGAGTTGTTTCTTACCAACCTCTTTTTTTGCAAAAAAGATGAATGTACATACACTCAATAAAACATACGGAGTTATAGCTCAAATAGGAAATTCATTTTTTGTTTCTTCATGCTCTGAAATTTTTATTGAACCAAATGAATCATTAAGCAAATCATGATCAAGATATTTTTTTTTTCTATTTCAAATGCTCTGTATAATATTTAAATTAACTATTGAATAAGAAGATGCATAACCTTGATATTAATGTCATTTTATATTATTTTATATATTTGCAGGTTTCACGTGATAATCACGACAATTATGATCCACAGAATTATGGATCACAACAATACCAAGGAGTCTCGCAAATGTATACGAGATATTCGACAAATACACCAATTAATTCACCTCCGATGTCACCTGCAATGAATCATTATAATTCACAACATCAATACCAAAGTACAAGTACCAAATTGCTATTGGAACAGATTTTAAGTACGACAAGAAACCCTGAAAAATTACCAATGATTGTTAAGCCACAGCATGGAGGTTATTGGATAGATTGTGGACAAATTGATGATGAGGACGAAATTGATGCGAATGGAAGCAGATTTAATGATAATAATAATAATAATGGAACTAAAATTAATGATAATGACGATAATGATGGTTCACAGAATCAGTTCGAGATAAAAATTGAGGCAAATGATTCGGCACGATGCTACAGACTGCACTTTTACGGTCGTGAGCATTCGAATTTAGTTGGATTTGATGAGAATCATGGACCTGCGTTGATGTCAATAAAGCCTGAATTGATTGCAAATCAATCACATTTGAGGATTCTGTTAAGGTTGAAAAGTGGAACAATGCACGAAATCATTCCAACGTCTTGCTTGGACGATAATGCAACGCCAGTGAAAATTAGTCGGCTATTAAATGAACAGCTTCAAATTGATACATTTTTACCCATCATTTGTCCATTAGCATCTAATTTGATTGCTGCTTATGATGAGCATCAATTGGTTGTAAATTTTAAATTTGGAGTTTTGTATCAGAAATTTGGACAGACAATTGAGGAAGAACTTTTTGGCAATAATGAGACGACGGCTGAATTTGATGAATTTTTAAGTTTAATGGGAGAGAAAATCAAGTTAAAGGATCATAAAGGATATCGAGGTGGTCTTGACATTCAAAATGGACATACGGGAGATGTTGCAATCTATGATGTATTTCAAGATCGAGAAATAATGTTCCACGTGTCAACCCTACTTCCTTACACAAATGGTGACCCTCAGCAACTTCAGAGGAAGCGACATATCGGAAATGATATCGTCGCTATTGTCTTTCAAGAAAGAAATACACCATTTTCACCAGACATGATTGCATCTCATTTTTTACACGCATTTATTGTCATTCAACCATACTCGAACAGGTCATATAAGATATCTGTTGCGGCTCGTGATGGAGTGCCATTTTTTGGACCTCCACTACCAAGAAACGGAATTATCAGCAAACATAATCTCAAAGAGTTTCTACTAACGAAGCTCATTAATGCCGAAAATGCCTGCTATAAAGCAGAAAAGTTTGCAAAACTCGAATATCGTACAAGATCATCACTTCTCGAGAATCTCGTCGAAGACTTAAAAGAGAAAACCAAAAATTTCTTAGGCAATGAAATTTTAATTCCGCCAATGTCACCAGCAAAAGAAGTAACTCAGAAATCTGAAAATACCGGTGCAAGTCGATTTATTGACACTGTTAAGAAGGCTTTAATATCTCGTGTAAGATCACAGTCAACAGCTGATGTTACAAATAGCAATGTGTGTACGCTGCCTAGTGCCAAGAAAAATCAAAACCAAATTAGCTTCGAAAATGAACAAAATGTAAGTTTATATTTCCAATTAAAATGAATTTAAAAGTATTTAATCGTGATTGACAATAGTGCATGTTCCTTAGTATGGATTAAAATATGTAACGGGTATGAAATATTTGAATAAACAACGATCATTAAATATTTGAAAAATTAACGATTTTAAAATAACTGCCAAAAAATATTTGAGAAAAACTGTCAAAAATTTTAAGATTTTAATAAATTGGTAAATTAACGGACAGACAAATTGTGAACCCCAAACTGTCTTTTACAATTCTGAAAAACGCGCTATCAACGGAAATGGGGTGAAATTTTATTTCTCGGTATCTCAACGATAATAATGTGATATTGACACATTTACATACAAATGAAGATTTTCTCTAATTAATTTTGGTCTTGAAAGTAACTTGAAATTTTTAAGCCTTCCAGCCATTAAGAAAAGATGTTATTTAAGATAGCATCATTATATCCAAAATATATAATATTCTTCGCATGAAAAGTAGTGGTTCCATTCCATTGTTTCTCTGATTCTCAGAAAAAAATAAATAAGAAATTAGATTTTGGATAACTCACGTTCGTTTCGTTTGAGATTCAAGGCTTAAAACACAAAATTATGTGGTTGTGTCGTCTGTAAAATATATTTTTGTTGTAGGCACATGAATCAGCACTCATAAATTTTTATTGTAGCAAATATGTCAATATTGCAATAATCGTATAAATTACACTCAATTTGAATTTTTATAGTGTGTACCTATCAAGTATATAAGTGTCTGCACATATTTTGTAATGTTTCCGTGCTGAAATTTGAATATTTATTAGAATGAGTATCAATCATGCTTAGCAGTCAAAAGAAAGTTGTACAATTTTCGTGTACGTTGCACGATTCTTGAATTTTTATTTAAGATATCCTTGGGGGTTGTTCATAAATGACGTGAATCAAAGAAATTTTATTTGAACCAGTGGCATAGCCAAGGGTGGTCGGAGTAAAAATCCCACTCGATTTGAAAAGTTCTTCAATTTTAAAACGTTCCTTTCCAAATTTACACATTTATCGAGTTTTATTTTAATGACTTAATATATTGTTTTGCTGACGTCATTTTACAGTTTGCAGGCTTCAGGTTTTGATGATGTATTTTTATTTAGTCATAACACATTTTGAACTGTGAACTTTATTAATCTGCTTGCTTAATTTAGTTTAAAAGCTTTAAGAGATCGTTTCTTTTTATACAAAATTTTAGACCCCCATTCAAATTAATTAAAACCCGTAAAATTTTAACAATTTTTTTAAATTTATAAATCAATAGTTGCTTAACATGCCATCACTTTCCAGCCACAAAATCGTGTCAATCTTACCATTAAAATATTCCTCAATTAAAATTTTACACTCAATTTCCGCAAAAACTTTAAATTGACAAAAGAAACTTAATTAAAAGCACTGAATGGAACCTCTAACTGCTAAATGTATTCTCTACATAAAATATTCATAGAAAGAAAGTGTTAATTACAATTTACCCAATTAGGGTTAATTTGCGCTTTTGTCGCTTTCAATTTACCTTGAACGAGGCACAATTTCAATGAATTGAGCAATTTAATTAATTTCCATGCTTGATCCATAGATTAACAGAGCCCCATCATCAAAATCATCAAGTAATTTCTCATCATCAAGCTCCTCAATGGCAACATTAGAGAAAAAATCGCCAGGAACATCGACTAAATTAATTCATCAACAGTCACTTCCAACACCACACGTAACTCATCATCACTTACAATCACAATTATCACAACCGACAAATGTACAAAATAATAATGATAAGAATCTCAAGAATAGTGAATCAATGCAAGTCTCGAATGAGCAGCAGAGCGACAACTCAAGCTTATATAGCATCGAATTGGAGACATTGAATGATGCTGAACATCGATATATTGATAGTGATCCAGGTTTTGGATCAATGTCATCATCAGAGCAGGCACAAATGACAAGTCAACAGATGAGACATCAACAAGAGACCCATCAGAAGGAGATCGATGACTTGAAGCAGGAAATTACGAAGCTAAAGTGTGATAAATTAGATTTGTTAAGACAGAATGTGGTAAGTGTAGACACGATGACGTTAATGGCATGACTCATACGCATTATTTTAACTTGTATATTTCTGTCTCTATCTTGGTACACAGACATGTCAACGTGATATTAAGCGATTGAGAGAACGTGAGCTTTCCCTTCAGGGTGATTTGCAGGCATCAAGTATGGAAATTATGAGGCTTCGTGAGTTGATTCAGGAGTGCACAACGACAACTAATGGAATCGATAAAAATACAACAACAATGTTGTAATTTAATATTTGACTTTTATTATTGATTATATTTAAGATTCTACACATTTACACAATTTTTTAATTATTATTATTATTATTAGACTTAATATAATTTTTATCTTCTGTACGAGAGAATACCTAAGAATTCAACGAATCAGGGTAATTTAATGCGATATCGAACCAAATAATTAAACAAAACTTAAAAAATGATTTCCTTGTAAATTCTTTATTGATTATTTATGATCGCCGGCATCTGTTTGGATGCTGCAAAAAAATTTGGAAAATTTCATTGGAACTTGTTGAGATATTGTTGGATGTGAGATGGTCTTCATTCAAGTCTATTTGTTGACTGTTGAAAGGTTTTCAATCCAGATGGACTATTCAAGAATTGATTAAAAACTGTTGAAAGGTTTTGAGTTGATTTATAAAAGTGACTGTTGTACAGTTCTAATAATCCAAAAATATTTCATCAGATCATTACAAATGTTTCAGAAATCTCAAAAACAATACAATTTCTATGTAAACTGTTGTAGGGTTCTCAATTATACTTTTCGTCAAAAGTAAGACAATTTTAATAATAACTGATTTAATTTCGATGAAAAGTGGCATATTGAGGTACAAAAATCTTGGTTTTTGATGGAACTAATGTTAGGTCATTCCTTTATCTTTGATATACCCTAGAATACAGAAGATCCTTAATTTGTACAGGATTTACTTATGCCCCTTGTTTCTATACTGCACATAACATAACCTAAAAGATTCTTAATCTCAAATCCATCGCCATAAAAAACATCAATACAAAAGATCCATGATGAACAAGCTTCACAGCCTTCAACTCAACAAATTTCCAACAAGTAATAATAAAATAAATTAAATGTTATTATTCATCATCCTTTAAAAAAGGCAATATTCGCTGTTAATCAAAATTACATGAACCTTTATAGAGATGAGCTGAAATAGCTATAAACTAATGACAATCGATTGTACATTTTCTTTTTCTATAATTGCCTATTTATATTGATTTATAATGATATTTAAAAGAATTGACTTCTTCTGTTTAGAATCAAAACATCTTTGTGCATGAATAAAAAAAATTCTTAGATCAAAAAAAAATCATTGTTAGACTTTCTATAAAGGGGGCTGTTCATAAATGACGTTTAATTATTTTTGAGGAGGTCTGGAGCTGTTTGACATTTTTTGTACGACCATTGAGGGAGTTAAGTTACTCCAACAGTTACAGACGTCATTCATGAATGCCCTCAAATCAAAATAATGGAATCAAAAAGGAACAAAAAATAAATATTTCATGGTATTAAATGTTATTATTGCTTGGCATATTCAACATTCCAAAAAAATAAATAAAAAATGTATGAATAATTAAAAAAATGAAGTAAATTTAATTGAACTAGACTTTTAGTGATGAGATGATGTCACATGTTGATGACTAATTCCTTCAGACCGGTTTTTGATGATGATTGATAAAAATTCAGAGAATCACACAAGATAATAAATTTTCCATGAAAAATAGTCACTAATTAGAGTGTAAATAAGCGAGCAGAACTAAGCAGGCAAACCTAAAATGCTTACAATAAATTAAGCTGTAATGCTCTTTGAGTTTCCGTGAAAAAAAAAGCTGTTTAAATATATATCTGATATCAGATAGACGATATAAAGCTCATCTGTGTTTACATTTACATGTTATCAAGGTTAATGTTCTTTTCTCTTTCCAATACACATGGATAGAAAAGTACGCATGACCTTGATGATAAATTTTCTATTGAAATGGTTCAATTATTATAAAAAAAAAGTGTGTTTTGGTGTTGCGAACGGAAGTTACTTCCCCAAGTACCTAATATAGATATTTATCAATTTTTCGTTACGTATTGATAGGCTTGAATTGTTTTGGTTTAATTTCGAGTCTTGAAAAGGTTAATTTTATTGGTATTTATAGATTTTTAAGTTTCAAAATCTTAGTTGTTAAATTCAATTTTTTAATCCAAACAATACAAATGTTTTGGAAGAAATTGTTAGGTTTTAAGTTAAAATTATGAGCTTACACGAGTCTAATTTTGAATGTGAACATTTAAAATTTGTTCAAAAAAATTCAAAATTTGAACCGAAACATTTAAAATTTGTAAAATTGAACTCAAAACCTTACAATCTGAATTTTTGGACAGATCAGATTTTGAACTTAGTCAAATTCAAATCTAAAAACTTCGTTACATTTCTGAAAACTTCGTCAATCATCATCAAAATTCCCCCCAAATTGCTTTAAATAAAAATCTTAAGAAATTCAAATCTGAATTTTTTTTAATTTTACTTTGTTACAAAAAAAGTTTCATTTCAATTAATGGTGCTGTAAATGTTTCCTTTTGAAAGCAAATATTTTTTAAAGGGTCTGTTCAATAATTACGTAACGCAATGATAAACTTATTTCAACAAAAAAAAATTCTTCTAAGAAATTCAATTGTCAAAGATTTTCTATTCCCCCTCCGATGTTACATAATAATTGAACGGCCCCTTATATATTCATCATGATTTTAATTAAAGTACATGAACTCATCATTATAGTAGATTTATTATGAAGAAGAAACAAATAAAATAAAATAAAATAAAAGTATTACAAAAAAAAGAATAAAATATCTTGTAAGGAAGAAAAAAAGAAGAACAAAGCTAAGTTAAGCATTAAGAGAGGAAAAAGTTTAAAATATCATTCACCCACGAGTAGTCTTGCTTCTTTTTATAAAATAAGAAAAGGTTAAGCTACAAGTACATACATATATACTCATGCATTACACATCACATAAAATGTCAATTTTGCAATATAATTGAATGTTTTGTATGGATATATAGTCTTTGTTGTTGATGCAATACGAACTGTAATAATAGTAAAATCCATAATATATCTATCCTATCATGTTAATTGCTTATCCATGAGAGAGATGGACCTACATACTCAATATACAAGCAAAATAGAAAAGCTGCAGTTGAATAAATATAAAAAAAGCTATATTATTCAAATAATCTATCTCTTGAATGGATGTAAACACAATAGGATGTAAAAAAACTATGTCTGTTAATGTGTGAAATTATTAGTCATGATTCATAATAGCTTTGTGTACAAGAAAAGCACTTAAAAACAGCACCACAGCTTATACATGTGAGATGATGAGGAAAAAAAGTATCTTTCTGTTAGTTCCTTCCAGGGAATATTTTTTGTAATGTAGGATAGACGTTCTGTACAGGGTATAATGAACAAAAAAAAAATAATTAATAAAACAAAAAAATTTCTTCATAAATTATGAATGTGAAAAATGTTTTTAATTGAAAAACTTACTCAAATGAATTGTTTTTCCAGTTTAAGTGCCTTCGAGCTGAATGAAATGGATATTTTAAAAGAGTCAGAGGTGAAATGTACTCCAAATTGAGCTGTTGTAAGGATTTGAAAATTCTTTAAAGGAAAAATTAAAATTTTAACTGTTGTACGGCTTTAAAAAAAAGAAACTGTTGAAGTGTTCTGATAAAATCTTAAAACCCGTTAAATCTTAAATCAAATCAAGCGATAAAAATAAATAATCAGCAAGTATGTCAATGTTAAAGCCAACCGTGCAGCTACTAAAAACTGAAGTCAGCCTCTGCTTTTCAATTATTGCTTAATTCGACATCAACAACCCCTTTATCCATTTTCTAGACAAAAATAAATCGAAATCATGCATAATAGGTAGGAAAAGCCGGTGTTTACGACGACCATGACTTTCCAACCACAGACTTAAAAGGATTCATTGCACATAAAACGTAATCTATAATAAAATATTTTCTGTTTCAGCTGTTTTCCATTCCATTCATGCAAGAGCTGTAAACAACGACATAAAAGAACATAAAAGTGAATTTCTTTTTTTGCTTAATACTTCCTTCGCACTTTTATTCTCTTCTTTTTTAATATATTCTTTAATTTAAGGTTACATAAACAATTTTTTCTTGTGTGATTTTCATTTCATTTATATTACATAAACAACAGGAAAGGATATAAATTATCAAATCAATTCAAAAGGGGTTTTTATTTCCTTTATATTTCGCTGACTAAGGTGACGCTGAAAAGTTGATTTTCTGAAGGCTGAATAAATAAATGCTTTTCATCAAATAGTTTTTTTAAGGTTTTAGTTTACATCAATTCAAATTTTCTCATTTTTCCTGGAATGACAATTTTTTATTTAAGAATTTTCACAATAGATTTAACTCATCACTTTAAAGTTTTTCACGGAAAGAGTTTTACAATTTGAAGTCAGTGGTGCTGTTCGCTATTTATTTTTGGCATAAATAGAAAAACCTTTTTGATGTTAATGTTAGTTTTTGCAATACTCCTTAGAGAAATAAGGTGACGAAATTGTTGATAAATCCTGTCAAACTACTCAAGATAAAATAAAAGCATTTGAACAGGCGTCTTGAACTAAAATACTCAAAAAATTGACCAACGGAAATTTCAAATTTGAAAATTGATTAACTTAAATCGAATTCAAATATAGATCTGAACTTTCTTCAGAATCAACTACAAATCGATTACTCCTTCAAAAGATATAGCCAACAGCAAACAAAATGCTTTAATAATTACAAAAGCATCCTTTCGAGAAAAGCACTTTAAACACCACTGAGCTTGAAATGTATTGTCGAAAAGTTTCTGTATGAGTGAAAAAGATACAAAAAAATGAATATGAGATGCGAAGGTATATGCTACATTTTTCTGATATTCCCAAAAAACAATAATTAAATAAGAAGCGTGAAAAAAGAATCAATTCTGATACTATCTGAATTATTTAATGAAGATTTTTTTTTGTTTCGCATTTAATGTTATCATCGAGAGTCCAATTTAGTTATATGTGGTGGATATCCACTTATTGATACTTGAGAGATGGCAGAAATTGTTTTCATATTAATTGTTTTATCCCCAGTTTAATTACACCTCTATTATTTTTTAAATATAAAGTTTCAATTTCATTATTCAGGCTAAAATATTTCAAATGAATTTTTTTTCTCATCGATCTGTCTGTAGGCTCCGAAGCAGCTTAGGTATTAGAAAATATAATAATTAATTAGTTTTACGCGATAGTGTGTGTGTGAAAAGGAATATATTTAACGATTATTATCAAGAAATCGATGAGTAGAAAAGGTCATAAACGTCTATTAATTATTATTTCTTTATGATTAAAGTTCTTGCTTTTTTTTCTCTTCTCATTCTGTCCAGTTTAAAAAATTATTTCATTTGCGCTAAACAAATTTTTTGCTTTTTTTGTATCCTAGATGAAAAAAATTCATTTATTCTACATCCATACTGTCATCCTTCAATTCTTTTTGATCCGAACTTTGTGTTGGCTGTTGTTGTTGTTCTTGATTCTGTTCATTTGCACCATTTTGATTATTTTCAGCCTTTGTTGTTGGTGGTGGCGTAGGTGGTTTAGGTTTTGGTCGATTTAATACAGAATTAACGCATGTTGTTAATGTTTGATATTCGTGTCGAATATCCGCGACTTTAACAGGCGCATCTTGTATTTTCTTTACACTATTCAACTTTCCTCGTGCATCATCAAACCATTTTTGGGTTTTGTCAGCTTGTTCACTGATATTAAGTATTTCAGTTTCAGTTAAATGATCATATTTGGGCTCGCCTTTACGATATAATTCAACTGCTTTATAAGCCATTTGAATAGCATGACCGAGATCGTTGAATGCTTGTGGATGTCCTTCATATTCATCATGTCGTACTTTTATTGGGTCAGTTTTTTGATGCAAATCACTTAGACGATTCTTATAGACTTCGCGTTCACAGCACTCGCCATCTTCGTACAACCAATTTTCTACATCATCTAATTGAATACAGATTTGATCGCGAATATCATCAGCAACGTATTCATAAAGATTTCCACCTTCCTGTATTTTTCCACGAATATCATAAACGAATTCTTCTAATGCATTCCTTGCGTCAACTCGTTCCTTTTCTTGACGATCATTGCTGATCATTTTGCCCTGAAAGATTGATTTTTTTGACAATTAAATTTATTAAGTCGGTAGTTTTTGACTTTTTTGAAAAATTTACCGAATTTAAACTTTAAAAGTTCGCTAAACATTGAAATTTCAAAAGTTCGTTATAATCAAAACTCACCTCAAGTTCAAAGAACTTATCAAACTCGGTTTGCGAGTAGCCATGAGTACGGGAATTGATGGACAATTCAACGATTTTATTGGAAAGCTTCTTCTTTTTCTTGTCATCCTGTAGAGAAGAGAAAATAGATTAATAATGTCAAATGAGATCAACAAACTCATATAAAATGATTTAAACTAGTCTAAAACAGTGAGAACAAATAAAAATAATAATAATAAAATGAACTGAAAAGTTTGTCATTCTAAGGTGTCACACAAAATGTCAAGAAAGACAGAGAATAAATGATAATACTAAAAACGGAAGAGAACTAAGGCATAATTTTGTGAAAATTAATGTTTAAAGAACTAATATGCAGAAGTGATTAAAGGATCACAAAAGCTTAAACAAAAACGTACCGAAGAGAACCATCTGCTGATACGGTGCGTCCACCCTGTTTTTTCGTGCTCTTTTGTGGGACTTTTAATTTCGTCTTCACTGCTAGCACCCTATATATCAAGACATTGGATATTTAGTACAAAAAACTCGAGATTTTTTTTGGACGTAATTTGGATTTTTTCAAAAAAAAAAAGTTTCAAGGTTTTTTAGACAAAACTGTGTCAAAATAAAAAGTGATATAGTTATCAGCAGGATGGTTATCTTCCAGAGACACCATGTTTTGTAATAAATTATTAAATACGTTAAAATTATTAAGGATATTAGGGTGTAAGCAAGACATTATTTTTCTCATTTTTATGTAAGTTTGGAAAACACACGACTTACATCAACTGATGTTGTGTCCATTGCTTCATTAGTTTGCTGTCCTTCTTGTGGATTCGGCTCAGTTGGAGATGGTTGAGCATTTGTTTGCATTGCGTCGCCTTCATTTGCACCGTTCTGTTCAGCATCTTGGACTTCCTTTTTCTCAACCATTTGAGCGCTGGCAACAAGCAACAATCCATTGTGATTGATCCTAACTTTGACTTTTACTTCTTGAGCTTCTCCATTAGCAGATGGCTTAACATCCTTTACTTGCCATTCACCTATAATTAGAAAAAATTTAACGGTTATTACGAATTCAAATTTTAACGGATTTTCAAAATTTTAAAACTAGTCAAAAAAATTTGATAGTTCAAAATTTTAACGGATGTATGATCAATTTTGAACAAACGGCTGTTTAAAGACTTACCAATGAAAGGATCAAGGCAAGGTGATGGATTAGCATAGTAGAGAGTGATAGCAAATGGTTCGCGACGATACATAGTCAATAAGCGACTAAATGGAGCAGCGTGATGTGCTGGAAAAACTTCCATGTCAGTCCTCTGACCATTTTCGTTGTCAAATGCAAGCATCACGGAATAAGGTTGGATATCAGTAACACTAAAATCGCGAACGCGAACAGCTGGTGACAAAATAGCGCATTGCAATGCACCGCCTCTTGAAACAGCTTCGTCTTGATTCAATTGTGTACTTGGAGTTTTACCAAAAATTTGCTCTATAAGTTGCTTAACTGCTGGAATTCTACTCGATCCACCTACAATTTCAACGACATGGATATCCTCTAAAGCCAATTTTGAATCTTCAAGGCATCGTCTCATACAATTTTCAACACGTTGTAATAGACTTGCACAGATCTCTTCCATGACAGTACGTTGAATTGAGGATGAAACATCCGTATCGTTCATGAAGCATTCAATACCTAATGGCAATTTAGTGCTATTGGCGCTCATTTGTTTCTTAAGCTTTTCAGATTCTGTCAAAAGACGCAGATATGCCTTTTTATTCGTTCGTGGATCAATCTTGTATTTAGTGACAAATTCATTACTAAAATGATTAGCCAATGCAGTATCAAAGTCACGTCCACCAACAAGATCTGATGTAGATGCTAACATCTTTAATTTGCCTTTACTAAAAGCACAAGCAGAAACTTGAATAGCACTTTGCCCGAAATCAACAAAGACGACATTTCGTGGCTTTTCGTCTGGATTTGGCAAATCTTGCCTATAGAATCCATAGCTTAATGCAGTCGAAGTTGTCTCATTCATTAATCTTAGACAATTGAGCCCAGCGATTCCAGCAGCATCAAGTAAAGCTTTTCGTTCAGCATTAGTAAAGTATGATGGAACAGTTATGACACAGTCATAAATTTGTGCTTGTAAAGCAACAGCCGCATCAGTTTTGAGCTTCGTAAAGAGCATGGCCGTAATTTGTTCAGGTGTAAAGCTCTGTTCCTCATCCATATAACTTGCACAGATTCCAACGCCTCCATCAGGACGCTCTTCAACTCGATACGGAATATGTTTTATTTCTTGCTGAACAACTGGATCTTTGAACTTCCTTCCTAGCAAGTGCTTAAAACCACATATTGTGTTCTTCATATTTGTTACTTGCTGATTTTTTGCCGCTACGCCTAGCGTTCGGTTGTTGCCGGTGAATGCGACACATGATCTAAAATAAAATGCACATCAGTTTTTTTTTTGTCATAATTAAGAAGAATGTGTGAAAAATATTATTTCTGTGGCTAATTTTCAGAATGACTTAATGAAAAATTGAGTCTACCATATTGTCTGATTTTTGATGATTTACGCATAATTACGTAAGCATTTAGTTGCGTATTTTTCAAATTATTAAGACCCGTTATTTTATTAAAACATATATTACATAGACTTAGAAGATGCGCACTTGAAATTTACGTGTATAGTTCCTCATTCTGTCCAAAAAATATATATTAATATCGTCGTCATGAATTTCATGTAAACGAAATCAAACGCCCACAATTCAGTGAAAACATTAAGAGAGAAGATATATTTGGTACGGTATGAGAAAAAGAAGTGAAAAATCTGAATCATCAGATTTTATAATAATTTCATTACGAGCCGACTGACTTGAAAACATTATTCTCATGTAGTTCAATCGATATAAGAAAAGATTAAGGTCTTTGTGATAGCACAAAGGAGATTGAGTATTTGATGTGACAAGCTTTGTAATAAATGCACTATTACATATTCATCTTTGGCGAAAAGTCATCATCGTCTTAAACAGTGACTTATAAGGACAAATATTGTGCATTTATTGCTCAAGGAGGTATGATGAACTCATTTTGAATCTGGATTGTATGAATAAACTATTAAATGCACTTTTCATGAAATACTAAAGTAATAAATTATTAATTTTCTAATCATTTTTATGAACATATATCTATTTCTTTATCGTCTGTATCTAAAAGCTGCTCACAGCTTTTTTTGTAATTATTTTAAGTGAATGAGAATAATTTTCCGGAAAACTTTTTTTTTTTTAAAAATGCTAGCAAGATATCCAGAATTTACATGACTTAGCGATAATCAATAGCACTATGTATGTATGTAAAAGGGTCATGGAAACGTTTATGTTAGTCTAGTAATTTCTAGAATTTTTTTTGCAAACATAACCTCTCAACATACAGTTAAAGAACAAAGAGCATTAGAATCGTATAATTACATAAAAATACACTTATTAATTGATACTTACGGTGTTGCTCTTAAACTGTAATCATTTGCGATGGTCTCGATACCTCCTGATTTGGCTACAGCAACATAACATGATTCGTTTCCAAAATCAATTCCAATTACACTCATTTTCCGATTTTTGCAGATTTATTTGTCAATTTAACACTTATATTCAATATGAAAGGCTTTCTCTAATTCACTTGACGCTATTAAAATAATTTAATTACTTTTTAACCACTTGACTGCCTTAATTCTGTAAAATTACTAATTTTTCACGATCTGAACTTTATGATTTTTTTCCTTAAGCTATTCCGAAATCAACTTATTCAAATATTTTTTTACGGTTACACTTATATCGGTGTTTACCATGTTTTTTGAATTTTCCAGTAATTTCTAGACAATTCAATCCGAATTTGATGTCAATCTTTCGAATATTTACGTGTTTAAGAAGACAAACGGTGACCTAATGAGTAAGGTGTTAATTAAACTATAAAAAAATTGAATTTGAAACCCCACAAATGTTGATGAATGGCTGTTGTGTGGTTCTGAAAATCTCAAAACATTTCTATGGTTTTAAAGTTTAATTTTTATTGACTCGTTACATTATTATTGCATTCAAATTTATTTACTAGCTCTTAGGGGCCGTTCACTTATTACGTTCGCATTTTAAGGGGGAGGGGGGTTTGAAAAATTGTAACAAAAATTAAACATAGGGTGGGGGGGGGTCAAGAAGAAAATTTGTAACAAAATGTAACATAGGGGGGGGGGGGGGGGTGTGAGTTGTAACATATTGTAACAAGGGGGGGGGATGAAAAAAGTCGTTTTTTGCGTAACGTAATAAGTGAACGGCCCCTTACCTAGTTTGCGAAGCTACAATTTGGTATATAATATGACTCCCACCTCGTTAGATCACCGTCTATCGTAACAGACATAATACTTGTAAATATGTTGTTTACATTCTTCTTTTGAAAATGTGGAGATAGTTTAATTACATTTCTCACCAATATACCTAATAGTAAGCTATAAAAATGAATTCATTGTTTAGAATGTGTGCTAGAAATGCACTTAGATTAGTGTATCAAAGTGGGCAAGTAGCAAAAAGACAGCAAATTAATTTATTAGCCTTTCAAAATCATGACATGAGATCCAGTAAAACTTTTTGTGATAATAAGTTGGGAAAAGTTGATGAAATTAAAAAGCTTTACTTGCAATTCACATGCAAAAAGTGTCAGGAGCGGAATTCCTACATGATTAGTAAATTAGCTTATGAGAAAGGAGTAGTTATAGTCGAATGTCAGAAATGCAAGAATAATCATCTAATAGCTGACAATCTGAAGTGGTTTAGAGATCAGAAAACAAATGTTGAAGACCTACTCCGAGAACGAGGTGAAAAGCTGCTAAATAAGACAAATTCGATAGAATTTATAGAAGATGAGGACAGACCAAAGTAGATTTGAAAGCAAATTAATTGATTTCACAAGATCCTTGTTGGATTACAGAAGTTCAATTTGATCTAACTGAACGACTGTAATTCATGAAAGCTGAAGAGTATCAAATTAAGCAGCAAGACAAGATGTCTTTTGTAACATTATTTTATTGCATTTATCTCGTCATAAAAAATGTAAAAATATTAAAATAATTAAAAAAGGCACTTAATTTCAAATACTGAAAATGACAATAAATTGGAATGTCACTTAAAAACAAATGTTGATGACATCTTTAAATTGCTTCATACTTTTTTTAAAGTCATTTGACTAATTTCATTTATGGCATCTCCGTCAGTTAAAGAATTTGTGATTATACCCTTTTAGGCTTGCTGACAATTGCATATTCTAGTTGATTGTATTTATTGCTGTGATCTCTCAAAAGATCCTCGTCGCTGATCAAGACAGCTGGTGTTGATTGTGAAGAACTTGATGCGAATGATAAGTTTGCAGATTGCTGTGGAAGGCTTGTACGTCTAATAATGCCATATCCTAAATAGCTATCGTCGGCTAAACGTGATGCAGACAATTGAGGAGGTTCGGAAACGTGAACAATTGATGGTGAATTAAGTGCTTTGAATTCTTGAGATGTTGATGGCTGTAATTCCGTAGGCGTAATAATTTCATAATCATCGGATATGACTGGTTTCTTTTTAGCTGGTAAAGGAATTATTGGGACGATTGTCTTATAGCCTGACGATGTAATTTTATTGCCAGAAGCAGGAAAGAATTCCAATCGATCATAATCACCTTCAGGATCAATAATTGACTGATCAGTATACTTCATTGAACTCGTACTTGGATTATTTTCATTAATATCGACAATAGACATTTTTCTAATTTCATTCCGGTTAAATGATTTACTTCGTTGCCATACAAATTCCTCTAATTCATCGTCAGGTATTGAGACATGCTCAGTATGTTTAACTTCATCAATACCTAATGTTTTCCATGCATCCGTAATATTTTCTATGCATTCATAGTCCCTATATCGATCAAGCATCGACTTATTTCTTTCTGGTGGTGTAGGCGGTGAATCAAGTTGAACAAGTGTTTCCTGCTGATTTGAATTTATTCGATCATTAGAATTAACTATGTGCAATGTTTTCCTAGGCGGTTTATTTGGAATTGGCATTATTGATGTATTTTTATTGAGTACTGGCGGTAGAATTGGTGGAGTCGTTGGTGTTTGAATAAAAGGAATTGAGTCAGTCGATGATATAAAACCACGAAGTGATGCGTGCGAAGTCATAGACATTGACATATCAATATCGGGTGAGTTTGGAGAATTAATAAGTGGTGGTAATGGACTTCGTGAGCCTGCTTCCATTGATAATGCTGCATTTAATTGATTTTCACCACAATCCAGACTTCCAGAGCTATCTCCGTTTAACAATTTTTTCATACTTTTCATTTTATTTGACATACAGCGAAATATTTCTTGCGGATTGTTATTATCCAACTTAAAGACTCCTTCGCCTGTGTCACATTTCCTTCCAGCTTCAAATGTAAACTTTCCATCACGATAACCGTACTTCCGAATATATCTATATGGCCATTTAGCTACAATACTTTCATCTTCCGTATTCTTCAACTGGATCTCAGTTGCTGTTAATTCAAGAATGTAATCTTTTGATTCTAACTTATTTTTGATTGTAATATCAGTTGGTGTTAATGTGCATGTAAATTTCCCTTCCGAGAAGGACGAACAGTATAATTCATTATATTCTACTATGGAATTCCGTTTAGAATTTGAGAGATTTAATTTTTCGTTAAAAGCTACTGATTGGAGAGATTTCGTCCAGAGATTCAATTCTGATTCATTGTTACATTGAAATACTATTTGACCAGATTTTGTGATGACATTTATTATTAACGATGATGATTCTGAATTAACTTTTATGCAGTTCTCTAAAGTTACGAGTCGAAGATTTTTGTCAGTCTCACTGTCACCTATTTCAAGTCGCTCAATTCCTTGACTTGAACGCTTAAAAAGCATCACAAAGCGTTTCTAAAACAAAAAGAGAATAAAGAGGAAAGGAAAATATTAACATTCAGTGTGTTTAAGGCAAAACGGAAATACCAATGATGCAACAAGTATTTAGTGGGAAAAAATGAATCTACTCATAATGTCCTCATTTTAATCATTAGTAATGACTTGATTCTGCAGTTTTAATTGAAAAATTTCGATTCTTTGTAGATTTTTTGGGATATAAGTTAATTGACCTAATAAATAATATGAGAACAATATGGAAATAGAATAATTTTTTTGCAAAATCTCACTAAAATCGTCACTGGATGTATGAAAATAAGCAGGATTCATACCTTTTTTGGATTTTGTTTAATATTGAAACCATTTTGCGACTTAATTAATAAAAATCCAGATAAAATACAATCTGACATTTTTTGCAACTCAAAAAAATCTTTAATTACAATTTTTCTTAAAATATCTTCACATTCTCAGCTATTTCTTATGTTTCTCAAGCACTTTACATAGGACACTTTTAAATAAACTTATTTGTGGAATGTTTAATAGGTGAATAACTAGGGAATTAATAAAATTAAGAAAAATCAAAATATATTTGCTGTGCAATTAAGGTGAATGAAAAATTGTGAAAAATTCAAAAAATAAACATCCGTTATTTGAGATTTTAGAAGTATTTTGAAAATTCATTATTTCATGCACTAAACTGCTCACGTGGCATTCTTATTAGACTTTTAATATTTTAAATTTACATAAATTAGACTTAAATTAACATCCAGTAAGATAATAGAAGATCCATTAAGAAATTGAAAAGGTGTGACGTCACTTTTTTAGAGCATCCAATAACTCGGCATTCACATACAGTTTTCCATTTTCCATCGTCCTTTTTCATTCGGGTATCTAATATAAACACAGAATTCCAATAAATGATAATAAAAACTGAAAAAGATAGCAAATAAGGCATGAGAAGTTGCCAGACAGAAATGTGTTAAATTAAATAAGTTAAGTTCCATGTATATAGGATAACAATGAGAATAAGGATATCAAGATTTGCGACAGTAGCTATAGTGATTCTTAATTTTTTACTTTTCCTAATTTCATGGAAATATTTTATAACTTCTGAAACTGATATACAAAAGTTTACGTCCAAACCGAAAATTAATGAGTCTAAGTCCTTTACTACGATTAAGAATAACAATAGATTGCATGAATTAAAGAAGTTTCTGCAAAAATCACTTACAGTTATTTTAAGAGATTTTTATCATTTTGACAATGATTTAAAAAGTGGAATTGATCATCTCCTGAACATCATACCGAACCTAAGAATTTTAATAATAAGTGATCAACAAGCATACCCGCCAATAAGCATTTTTAGACCGATTCAGTCAACACCCAACCAAACAACAAATCCATCGATTCTTATTTATAAAGATAATGTACAATTTGTTCCATTAAATTTGGATCTTACGAAGAAAGCTAGTGAAAATAATCCTCTCAATTACATTCAAACAAAATATGTGCTCTTTCTACCCGATAATTATAAATTATCAAATGCTCGACATCTCTTTCAACGCTTAATTAGAAATATCGATGATGATTATAATGCCAAATATAGCAAGAATCCTAGGAAAATTCTAGTCGTTCCATTTACGTCTAATCAAAAATTAATAAATTATTGCTTCCAACTAAACTTCGATATTCCAAATTGGACAATTGAATATCTGGTGAAAACCAACAAAACTTTAGATTGTGACATGGTAAATTTTAAATGAATTTTATTAAAGAAATTCTCATCGATTATCATCAATCATTTTCCATCCACAGTATACACAAAAACACGGAATGCTCATGGAAACTTTTTTGCTTCATGATTTTTTGGGTAAGAAAACTTTTACAATCAAATTTATTGAGTTCTTGAAGAGTTTGAAAGTTCTTTTGGATTTTTACCGTTTTGAAAGCATGCTTGCATGTTAATTTAACGGTTTTTACCAGAAACATACAAATGTTTTCAACTTTAGAAGAATTTGTATGGTTTTGAAAAATTCAAATTTGATAAATAAGTTTATGTCAATTTAACGAATTTTGTGTCTTAATTTCAAACCCATACAAATGTTTTAAATTTACATTGAATTTGTAAGGTTTTAAAAATTTAAAACTCACTGATAAGCACAGTTAAACTACGAAACACGTTACGAATTGATTAAAAACCAATCGATTGATGCCACAATAAACATTAACCCTTCTCAAAGTCACCTAGTCAGCAAAAACGAACTAATATTTGTTTCTTTCAGAACCCTTCCAATCACCATTTCCCGAGTATTTTTATTTACAAGCAAAACTTGCTGACATAAAGGTAATGTACCTATTGAGTTGAAATAACATGATGTAATCAATTTCTGTTTTGGTATATTTGACATTTCCCCTCAACTGCTATTTTTAGTGCTATCGTGTTTATAAATATTGTACCTTTTACATATTTAGGCATGCACACAATATTTATTTGTAAAAATAACTGCAATCGTTCATATGGAACTTGTTGAATCAATTTCAACTAAATGGCTTCACATGTCATTTAACAATTTGTTCAATTGTAACGTAAAATGATTTTTTATGACCATTATTCCTGAATTATCGTGTTAATTTTTTTATAAATTATACAAATTCACCCACTCAATTGCCTAATATTTTATTCATGCTAGCTGGTGTATTCGAATGAGTCCTTATCGGAAGGAGGGAAAAAGCTGTTGATGTCATCATATCATAGTCGAACGAAGAGAAAGAACATCAAAAGGGAGCAATTTAAAGCATTGTACAAGAAGTTGCAGATGAAAAAGGTTGTTAAAAAGTATCATTATATTCCAGAAGATAAAACAGCTAGTCTAAAGAATTTAAAGAAGAATCGAAATAAAGGAAATAAGCAGCAAGAGAAAAATTCAAAAGGAAATGCCCTTAAAAATGGCAAGGATGGGAACATAATTGACGTTTTAATTGAACAATTGGAAATACCAACTTCAATTTTGACTAATTATTCTGCACAAGTACAAATGAAAACTGACATAAGTTATTTTGGATGTGAGAAGAATACGAAAAGTTGCATCGGTCAGGTCTATAATGAGAAGCCATTCTACCTTTATATCAGTCGTAGGACACCGCCTTGTTGTTTAGAAAAGTTAAAGACAATTTTCCAATATCTTATTGAGGAACTTGAAACTACAGGCGTACGTTACTGGCTCGATAATGCTGCTTTGAAAAATGCAATTGAATTAAATGACTTATCAAGTGACGCTTATGAAATTGACATTAGTTTCAATATCAATGACTATAATCGATCAACAGCTATAAGGAGGTGCTATGATTCTCGTCCGTTCACCGATCTTTCTGGTTTTTATTGGATTAAAGCCACTGATGGTCATTATCTTAAGGTTCAGTTTTCCAAAACTAATGATATCCATGTTAACTTATTACCTTTTGAAATTCGTGGAGATAAAATGGTTCCAAAAGGCTTTTATGGCATTAAAGCTAAATCTTTCTCAATCGAGTACATTCATCCAATGTCTTCTGTTAGTTTTTTAAGTAAGACAGTCTTTACGCCGAACAATGTTCGTAGCTATTTAGTTGATAAAGGATGGGTTTAGAATTATTAATTTGCTGTTGATTTTTAACGAATTTTTTACATTTGAAATTTTAATTAAGGAATTGTATGGTTTTAGAACATTTTGAAATTTCAAAAACCGTTAAATTATGATTCTCATGACTAAACATCAAGATAATAAAAAAACGTGGTAATAAAACACTCAAATAAACCACCAAATATCTAGTAAACTACTTACAAATTATTTTTTATCCATAATTTTACCTACCACCAGCATATTGTTATAATAAGTTATTTATGAAAATTTTTTACGGCATATGTATAAAAAATGTGTTGTTCAAAAAGATATTGTTCCTTTTATGCTTTTCTATTTTTATAATCAACAAAAAGTCTAATAATTTATTTATAAGTCTCAAAAAATTGTTCTACAATTCGTTTCTTTGTGATTTAAAAATAAGGATCAAAAATATCTATTCAATAATAAAATTTGTGAATCACTATACATGCTGCCTTTTTATTTAAGGTATAAGAAAAATAGATGCTTTCAGTGAATTTATAATTAATTTAATTGGATCCAACTTCAGTTTGTACGTCTTCTTGCGTTGCTTCAACTCCATCGGGAAGTTCTCGAACAAGGGACAATAAGCGATCTAATTTTGAGATCTGTAATTGTAACTGATCTTGATATTGCTGCTTTTTTGTTGGTTTACATGGAAGTCGAAGATTTGGTGACAGTTTTAAAGTTATGCTAGTTCCCTTGTCATCTCCAACAATAATGAATGGCAATTTATTGTTGAAAACAATTCGTGTCAATTTATTTCGCTTTCGAGGAACGACTTGCTGTGAACAAATTGGCTTGTACTTATTGACATTTAAATCAAATACAAAAACTCGTCCTTCTGTTGTGACAGCAGCAAAAACTGTTGATGAATATGGTGCCCATTTAACATCACCAACACTAGCACCCAAGTCAAAAATAAATAAAGGATCACTTCTCATATCTTCCCAAATTTTTACACGCCAATCACCGCTGCACGAAATAAAGATGTTTGAGTTGAATTTATTAAAATCCATTCTATGAACTGACAAGTAGTGAGCCTGATATATCATCAAATATTTGGAACTATATGCTGTGCTGCATTTAAATATTAAACCATCTTCAGTTCCAACTTGAAAGATTTCTTTGTTTGTAGGATGAAAGACCATGCATGTTCCACTAGCTTTCAATTTAATTGTAGTGCCGTCGGGTCCACTGACAGGATTAACGTCCAAATACAATGTTATGATCGTGGTTAAAGTCAATTTATTCTGCATCAAGACCCAATTAAAAACACGTCCATCCGTGGATAATGAGTAAAAATTTATTTCTCCATCTTGCATGTCTTCGCCCCATTTAACTTCCCAAATAGCTTCTGAATGCTTTCCATTTACACCTTGCGAGACATAAACGGGATCTTTTCCATCTTGTAAATTATACACGCAAACATTTCCATCATACTGTCCGACAACAATTAAATATGGATATTTCTTGTGAATATCACAGCACATTGCTCCTGACTCGGTTGTTACTGAGAAAAGAAGAATGTTTTGAAAAAATTAATTGCTTAAAATGTTTGAAAACCTTCCAAAAGTTTTGATTTCGCTGTTGTATGGTTTTATTGATGACATGTGTACGACACATGGCGTGTAGCAAATAGAATATATTAGCTACTTACTGCGATATTCAGGAAAAGATGGATTTTTTATGGAAAATAAGCAAACATATCCTTCAGTGACTTGCTTGATAAAGTCAAACGAACCAAAACAGACAGCAAACAAATCGTAGTAGAATGTATTTAAGCATATGTCAGTTACACTCATTTTCTTGCATTTATCATATGTGAATTTCCATAACGGCAATAAAGTTCCATCGTCTTCACGATACTCATCCGACGGATCTTCCCAATAACGATAATCTGCATGACAAAGTGGGTTAAACAAAAATAATTCAGAATCATGAGGATGATAATTTATACGAACCGTGAGCAATTTCATCGAATATGTTCTGATTAACCATACGTTCAAGTACTTGAGCTTTTTGAAAGTATTTGCGATTAAATTCTTCTGCAGCTTTTGTTTTTGCATCGCCTCGTTTCATTTCAGCATGTTTTTGTAAGCCAGGCTTTTTTTCCTTTAGCATTTCTTTTTCCTTTTCGCGTTTTAGACGCTCATAATCCTCATTATATGAATCATAAATATGCCACTGTACGACATTTGCACTGAACGATGAACGGGGTGGTGGAACTGTTTGCGTTTCAACAGATCGTGATGGGCTATTGTATGTTAATGCTGCTCGTTCACAAAAGTTAAATTGATTTGTTAACTTCTTCTTTGGACCAGCTGCAACTGCTGTTTGTGTTTCCTTTTGTTCTTCTTCACCTTCTGCATCAGCTTCGCCTCCTGCCTCGGAACCTACTTCCTCCTCATTTTCTCCATCAGCATTTTCGTCTGGATTTCGATCTAAATCAGGTGTTGTTGTGCCAGTTTGGGATCCTGACTTTAAATCAGAAATCCTTGGATCAACTTGGACGATTCCTCTGTCTGTGAATGTATGTTAGGCATTAAACCATTAAAGAGCTTTAAAGTATAAGGCTTACCTCTTTCATCAGCAATTTGAGCTTTCGCTTCAGAGCTTTCAATATGCAATGCTGTTCCTTCATGCTCAAAAATTGTCACAACATTAGTTGTTCTAGGAACTGGAATATATCCACCCTCACGAAAACTATAGATGACTAAATTGTGTGGAACATTCCGATTCTCGCATGACAAAACTTTTGGAATTTCTTCACATAGTTCTGCATCTGTTAAATCCATTTGATCTTCTGGCTTTATAAGTTGTCTTGCACGCCAACTGTCTTCGTCTCCTTCACCGCTAATTCCACCTCTTACAAATGAAGAGGCGCGAATTTGCTAAATAAAATTGAGTATAGAAAAAAATATAGGGCAAGATCAGAAAAAAAGGGAATAAATATTCAAATTCAGATTTCTCTGCTTTTAATAACTTAATTAATATGATTCCTTCACTACATGATAGCTAATAATAGTAAGTTTCTTTTTAACATTCATTTTTTAAAATGGCGACTTATTAAGTAAGTTTAATTAACAAATTAATATTTGAAATCGATTTTTCTTTGAAAAAAAAGCAAGATAAATGTTTGGAAGCTTGACAAAAGTTGTAGAGCTTGCTTTTTTCTATCATATGATCAAAATAGATTTTATTAAAAATGAGTTATTTTAGTTAAATTAACTGAAAACCAAATTGAATGTAAAATGTATTATTAAATCAAAACTATTAACCTTAATCGGTCAAGAACAATTACTTGATATCTAAAGAGTCTTTTACTATTTAATTTACATTCGAAAAAGGCTTAAAAGTAAGTTAAATTAACTATAAAAACAATGAAATTTAAATTGAGCAACAAATTTTGCTCTTATTTGCTCACAAATTTATAATTTTAAAAACCGTTACAAAATTTTTGGTCAAATTTTTTACTATAATTAAATTTTCTCTGCTTGTCTTGAACAAAAAGTAATATTTCTTTTGCAATATGATAAACATTGTTGAATTCTATAGTTTGAAATGAAAAAATCAATAGACGAATAACACAGCAATGACTTATGACTAGTTTTGTAAAACTCATCATAACTTGGTTAATTATACTAGAATTGAAAATTTTCTCTCACAAACGTAAAGAAAATTACATATGTAACCTTTTTTGTAAAGAAAGATAGTTCCTAAACTATTTCCTTCATATCAAAATTTCAGCTTCAACATTTTAAAGCTGAATTAAGCTAACTTACAAATCCACCATTTTGTATATTTTAGACAAAACTTTTAATGATCTGATTACTTAATTATCTGGTGAAAAAATCGTTATGATCAATGAAGTATTCGCAGAGATATTACATTTGCAACATGGTGTAAAATCGAATTTCCTCAAAATTGTTCGTGACGCTTAGCACTTTAAATTAATTTTTAATTATAATACAATGTCTAAGAGATACTTGTTATACACCAAAATATAGGTCTTGGCAAGGACTTTAAGGAAAACACAAGCCTTAAATACATATTTCGCATTATTGATTCAAAAATTGTAAATTATTGTTAAGCGTCACGAACAATTCATTTTTGATCTTGCCCTATATATAATGTTTTAGTTCCTGCTCATAGAAAAACTTTGACGAATGGATATAAAAAGTCTGTAGCGTGTTGAAAGTGGAAAAAAAATCTTAGAAGAAGAAGAAAAAGTTAAAAGTATGTGCAGTATAGAATAGAAAAGAGAGTTAAGTTTAAAAACATTCAAGATCAGCTGTAATGGCACCAACTTTGAAAGATACACGTCTTTCTTTCATGACATCATCAAATTCACTAACTTCGTCATCAAAACTTTGATCACTGACATCATCCAACGTGCCTTGATCACTGTCATTTACTTCATTAAAATGTCTTTTATCAATCGAAATTGTCGAGTTTGATCTTGATGGAACTTTAAGGCTTTTCGCTGTATATTCAGCCATTCCCCTTTTTTTTTCTATCCTTCCTCTCAGTACAAATTTTGAAGTATAACTGATGAGTAAGGAGTAATTATCGAAACATTTCGCAGTGAAAATAATAAAAAAAAAATCTTATTTGGTTTATAGTGCCACTAAGAGAACCACAAAATAACAGAGAATGAAAATTGCAAAAAGTACAATTTTATGTCGTGATAGCAAGGCTACATTCAATGAGCGATAAATAAAAATAAAAAATGAGCATAAAATAAAATAATAAAAAAAATTTAAATAACTAGATGGGGATAAGGGTCATCCAATTATGATGTCTGACTTTGAGATGAGAAGAGGGAGGGGATCAATAGATTTGACTGAGGGATGATGTATATACCTTTGTGGCCCTCCAAAACTAACCACTGCCTGAACAAGTGAGGAACAATTTAACCACTCAGTAGACGTCACTTCCGTAGGCATCTTTATTTATTTTTCATTCATACATATACACATACACACACATAAAAAGCGGAAGAACTCAGGAAACAGTCATTACACGTGCATGAATGAAACGCCTTTGAAAGCTCATACAATGATCCTTTCCTTTGTTCTCTTTACTTTCTTGAAAGCTCAAAAAGCATTGGTTCTATTTTTGGATATACTTGAATTCTTAACATACTTAAGAAATTGAATATTGAGATGGTCTGTGCTTAAGGAAGGGTTAATTGAGAATTAGCTAGCTTGGATTCTGGCTTGTTGTATGTTTGGGACAAAGATATGACTTGAATCAAGTTAAGCAGTTAAGTGCCTTGCTGGTCGAATAGGTAAGGCGCTTGGTTCAAATTTGGTATGGTAACTCGAAGGTCGTCGGTTCGAATCCAGCCATTTCCAAATTTGTTCTTTTTCAGAAGTTTAGATACTTCGACTGCTTAATGTACGAGATCAAGCCATAATTGGGCATTTTGGGCAACGTTGGATTAAGGAACGGATCAGGAACTTGAAGTGTAGCGGGAGAAATAGGAACGAGAGCTACAAGATTACCTTATAATGGAATATTGTCAGAACGGACCTGAAATGTATCACGTCACGCCCACAGAAGATTGAAACGAGAGTCTGAATTTAATCGAAACCTAGATTTGAAGATTAGAAGCTTGATTCTACGTTACCCATAGTGATATGAAATGTATCACTAATCAATGTAGAAAAAAAAACATGTATAAATACTAATTCTTCCGGACGGTAACGTCGACAAATAAATAATAATAATAATAATAATAACACTTAAAATAGTCTTGATTCGATCTACGCGTCTAAAATAAGTCTAATGAGAACTAAGAGTGCCCTTCAAGACTCAGACCTTTTTCGGCAACCTGTTTCTTATCGAAGCTTTAGAATAATAACTTTTAATGTTACGTAGCTTCCCAACAGCTCCCTTAAACGAAAACAATGTACCTAATCACTTCAAGGTGGTGCCAATAATTTTAGCGCGAAATGTTTTCAATAAAAATTTTCGTGCGTTTGTAAACAAAATTGAACTTTTATTTGGGCACTAGGACAACAAACAACTGAAATTCCTTACTTATTTAACAATTTTAAAAATAATAGGAACGACTCGAATAGGTACACAACACCATAAATACACAACTAGAACTGATTATTTTATTAAATGACAGACAAAACGAATCAGTAAACGCATTATAGCGTAGAAAATTTGTGTTGAACCGTGCAATCATCATTTTAATCCTATTTTGAGAATAAAACGCGCATACTTCCTCTTTATTCATTTAAATCATTATTATTTCGTGCAAAAGGCTGGATAGGAGTTTTATTTTTTTCGTAAAAAATTTTCTTGTCGTGATTATCATTGTTTAATATCGCGTACCATGATTTTAACGACACAAAGAAAAGTCAGGAAGTTCCTTTTTTTTCGCAAGCACAACATACAGAAATGAGGATAAACTTTTTCTTCATTTTAATCAAAATAAAAGCTTCATATGTGAATGTACAATAAAATTATCCTTTATAGTCATTTAAACTTAAAGAAAACTAGTTAAAAATAAAAATTGGAAGCAGTTCCAGTAGTACTTTACATTCGAAAGTGAAGCCAGTACACTCGCAAACTTTACACTCATAATGACAAAACAAAACTGATTTTGTCAATTTTATTTTAATAAACAAATCTCCTCATAGTCTTTTGTGGGGTACATCCGAAAAGTATCGCGTTTTAGTTGATAATTAAACAATATTTTTGAAATGCTTTTTTTTTGTGTGGTTCCTGTGGTACTGAGAAGTATATATAGTACAAATGCTGTATGTTTTATGAGCAAAAGTTTGAAATTTAGAAGCAGTAGCTATAGTTCTCAAGGAATGAAATTTATTACTTTGTTTTTTATTTATTGAATAACTTTGAGCTTATTTTGTAGTTTTAAAAAATAGCTCTTGATAAACTTTTTTACTCGATCGTGGATGTTAAAGATTAGTCATGTCTATTGAACTTATAAAAAATGTGTCCTGCTCAGTTTTGACTTACACCAATAATACATTGTTACTGTTTTTATTATTATATTTTCTAGTGATGCTGATACGTATGAAGATTACAGACAATGTTGTGGTGATAAGTTTCGGATAAGCTAAGATCTATAAAAGAATTAAGAAATTATTCTTAATAGTCTTTTATCTAGCGGCTTAATGCCTCTTCTTTGTCTATGCCTCAACAACCACATGTCATAGTCGTCGATGGTACGGTTCAAATCCCAGTTTCCAATAGACTTCCTGAGAGTTTTACATCACACAGTTTAAGAGTTTATTTACAAATTGTTTAATAATTTAGTATATTCTTAAAGTTTATAGCCCATTAATGGACTCAAAAACTGATTCAATAACAATCCATGTGTTTAGTACAAAAAGTATTTCTATAACCTTAGTAAAACATCCGTAACCATACCTTAACGTGGTATCCCGTCTAGTATTAAATTAATTCACAATATCCCGCTGATTTACTTAACTTTCACAGCAAATGTACACACTCAACCATAAAATCAAACAGACAAAAGCCAATTGAAAGTAAATTTGTTGAAAAAGAAAAGATTCCGTCTACCCACCAATAGCTTGTCCCATGACATTTTTATGAACATCGTGCAAATAGGAGAATTATTTTTATATTTTGTTTTTATTGAATTAATGAAAAATTATAGTTTATTTTGTTGAATATAAATCACTCAATTAGTAGCAATTAATCAAACAATAAAAATTCCGTTTTACTGTTTCTCACAATTGTAGAATGCAGTGAAGCTACTTCGAGAATCGCAATACGACTCAAAAATATGTTAGGGGAAGAAAAATTGCTTTATGATATCGAGAACTATTTGTTTCTTGCTTTTTATTATCGGAAAATATAAAAGAAAGCATGCAGTCTATAAAACTCATAGACGAGAAAGTATGTAGAGAAAGGAATTGATGGGTAGATAGATAAAATTTACCATAATAAATTTACATTGAGAAATTTGGAATAAAAACGCAAAGCTTTTCACTCATAACAAAAAAAAAATCCTTTCTTCTAATTAGTCGATTACTTGAGCTCATCGAGAATCAAACGTAATTTGCATATATGCATACCCTTCTATTATTCCTGTTATTCAGCAGACAAAAGCCACAATGAAAAGTTTAATTGCAAAAAGAAAAAAATGTTTTCCTTCCGTGCACATTATCGTGATTAAATTAATTTTTATGACAAAATTTTATTGTCTTTTATCATTCTTGTTCCTTCTTTTTCAACATTAATGTGATTTTTTATCATTCTCGCTAATTCATGAAAAATGAAGAAAAAAAGCTTAAAACATTTCATTTCATTTTCATTTTCATTTACAATTGTGACTTCCAAGACGACAGGACGTGAAAGTCGAAAGACTATAAAAAAAATAATATTTAAAAGTGTGTAGCAGTTTCAATTAGGATAGTCAATTAGTTTAGATTGAGAATTCATTAAACAATAGCTTTGGATTTAAAATCAGGCAAAATTCTTCAGTAAAATCATAGAATCGATTTCATTGTTTAAAGCAATTATAACTTTAAGTTATTGCCTATGATTCAAATTATTATGTTATCTTGTGAACATTTGTGCCAATTCTTTACTGTGCTTAATTTCAAAGATTATAAATTAAAGTCATTTTTAGTGAAAGATAAAAAATTAACAGATTTAATATTAATTTCTGTTCTTTAAAATTTAGAAACTTACTAAGTTCCTGAACTTACTACAATCAGGATCTTAAACATTAATTTAAATGAATTTCGGAATTTTATTAAAATTAAATCTATTTAAAATCTATTTAATTTTGATATTGCCTTCTAAAAGTGGATAAATCCTATAAAAATGAGAGCAAAATTTGATTGCACACAGGAACTAATATGAATGAACAAAATCTGTGATGAAAAACATCATTTTTTTTTGATGATGAAAAAAATTATGATTTTTTTCATTTACGTAAATTATTGCGTAAAATTTCATCACGTAAGAATCATTTTTACGTAGGATTTCATCATGTAAAGCAAAAAATGCAATAAAATCACACAAAATGAATTCCTATCGCTAAATAATAAGAACAAGAGATAGAACAGATTAGTTTCGCTTAAAAAACTTGTATAGAAACATTTTACACTGTTTTACACGTCATTTTTTGCTTTACGTGATGAAATCCTACGTAAAAATAATAAACTTAGAATGAATAAAACAACAATAATAATAATAATAATAAATAATTCTTACGTGATGAAATTTTATGTAAAAATTTACGTAAATGAAAAAAATCATAAGGCTTGTTTCACCAAAGTGGATTATCCTCGATTTCAGATTATCCACTTCAGTTTTTTGGAAATATCTTAAACTTTATGGGAGGTGTGGTATTTCTAATTTTAGATTACAACATACTAAAGTATGCCTGAAATTTTTGTATGCTTTAAACTTTTGCTTTTCGTTTAGAAGTATTAATTGTTCAATTTTCTATCCAAGTCTAGTAGATTAACTTCGATTTTCGCTATAATTCTCAAACTAATGATGATATGAAATTTCTAAGTATTTGTTAATTTAAGCAGCAAAGTACTCTTACTAGATCACACATTAGATCTCTTAATAACCTTAAGCGCCTGGAGATATTTCCAAAAAACTGAAGTGGATAATCCGAAATCGAGGATAATCCACTTTAGTGAAACAGGCTTATAATGTTTTTCATCACATTGATTGCACATCAATAAAAGCATAATAATTTCCAAAAATCTTTGTCAAAAATTGTCAAGACTTAATGGTCAATGAAAAACTTGCGAAAAACCTTTTTGTGAATCTTTAAAATTAAACAAGTTTCTTCCCCAAATGATTTTAATCAAGCTAATCATTTAGAAATTGCAACTGTACGATGTGAATAATATTAAATATTAAGATATTGTTGAGGAGTCAGTTACGTGCCTTAAAGAGTTAAAATCCGTTATTAAATTCCAAAAATAAAATCCTCTAAATCAATGCTATGTGCGAAACCGCAGACAACATACGTTCGTGGGATTTCACGAATTTTTTTCGAGCACATGGTTCATCAATATTCTAAAATAATTTTAATTCAAACTTTTTTAATATTCTCCTTAAATAACACAAACTTGAGAGAAGTTGCTTAATATAATCTCAAGTTGATAAAACCTCATGCAGAGAAACCATTAGAAATTTCGCCCATTAATGTTAAGAACTAAATAGGAAGGTGTATAAAATAAAAAAGTTTTTATAAATAACCTGCAATTAAGCTCGCTAAAAGCTTCGTGTGTGTGTCTTGATCGTGATAAATTCTTTGTTTAATGTAGCTGTAGCACTAAAAAAATTAAAAGTGCAACGAAGTAAAGAGAATAGAAGTAAACAAAACAACAACTCCACAGCAATCACATTCGTTACATAATCACTTTAAACGTTATAAAACAGCGCAAAAAGGAAGGAGCGTTTCCTTGTGATATTATTGAATGTAAATATTCAGTCAGAATTGAAAACCAAAACTTTAGAGGAAGAGAAAAGTAATTAAGTAATAGTAAAAGGATAGAAATAGGCAGAATAAAAAAAGAATAGCGTCTGTTTTATGTAGATTAAGGAAAACGTTTAACCGACCCAACTTACGTGCAAAGTTCGCTTCAACTGCTTAAAGAATGGCATTTTTTTGGGTATTAAAGGATTGTTCATGGCACGATGCCAGCCCAAGCACACAACGATAATGTTATTAATGTATTAGAAGAAATAATTGACTTTAAAATAATTTCTGATGGCACTTTTTTGTTTCGCGATAAAAAGAAAATTTCCACGCCTCGAATTACATCGATAAAATATTAGTCGTAACCATAGTGAGATATGTGCCTTAATGTATTTCATTTTTAGTATTTCGTTAGAAAAAATAAAGGAAGAAATTCTTTTAAATGTGTATCATACGTTTAACATTACAGAACTAAAAGGGAAATTTACCCGTGAAGACATCCTTGTTCCTGAATACATTGCGTATATCGTTTGCTTGTTTAACTGTTTAATTTATTTTACTTCACTGATTAATATACTCAAAAATTAATGACCAAAAAGATAATGTATTTTTTTTTCCAAAGATATCTTTGAGTTTTAATTTATTTGATTATTTTTTCTAAGTTCAAATATCACGTCTAATAATGAAGAATTTCAATGCAAAAGTACTTTCCCAAAATTTTCAGTATTACTTCCCTACAAATATCAAAAATACTTTTCGTGCGTTCGAAACGTCATGGGAAACTGATAATTTGGAGAGTGAAGACAACCGAAATATTTATTGTGAATTGATTGATTGGAGGAAGGATTTCAATTGGAATGCAAATAAAAATATCATTCTATCCAACAAAATTGCTACTGATAACGCAAAACTTGATGATTATGATGAGGATGATGACGATAATAAGCATAAAAGTGTAATAAATGATAATCAAGTAAAATGGTGGACTGAAATTGAATTGAAAGGGTTAAACTATATTGAACCACTTTCCATGATGGCTATCAAAACTTTGGCACAAGACTATAAATCTGGCAAGATTGATGAGAGGATATTCTGTCATGATTACAATTTGTTTGGGCGACTGATGGAACTGAACATTCTTTTGTCTAATTTATTGGAACTTGATGTAAATATTTTTATGATTATTAAGGTCCAATAACTTGTGTTTGATTGTAAGCAAAATTTGACAGTTGAAAACATTTGAATTTCAAAACCCTACAACAGTTTTAGAAAGACAAATATTTGTAAGGTTTTGAAGCACTTTTGAAAATTTTACTAAAAAGACAACCAATTTCCTTACAGAATGAAGTTTATTGGACACGAGTTGTAGAGTCAAAAATCAAAGATCAAGTCAGATGGATTAAATGTATGAAAGATTCAGAAACAAATTGGAAGAAAATAGGGATTGAATTATGCTATACGGAATTTGTTGAGAATCTAACATTTTATGAATCAGATTTGCCAGCAATTTTAGAGTTCACAGATAACATTACAAAAAGATGCTCCAAATTCATCGAAAACCTAACCATTCGTAAAGTTAACATGAATGAAAAGAAGCTGGCAAATGAGTTTAATCCAAAAACTTTCTCAAGAATCTACAGAAACGACGAGGTTTCTCACATATCCTTAGAATTCCTTAAAAACCTTAAAAATCTCAAAAATATCTCAATCACCTTTAATCCTCAAATATCATTCGAGTTGTATGAACCAAGATTTTTTCAAGTCTCAGTCCACGACATTGAAAACTTTTCAAAAAGTTTGGAATGTTTTTGTCATCTAGAGTCACTGGAAATAACTAAAACAGACTTAGAAGAACATGCAAAATTATTCCATTTATTATCATCGATTGAGAAATTGCGAGGTTTAAAGGCATTGACATTAACACATTGCAATATATCTTCAAAAGAATCTGGTGCGATTTTTGCATCGTTCTTATCGAAGAGCATGTCATTGACAGAAATCAATTTAAAGGATAATGCTCTAAGGTCTGATTTTTGTCATCAATTCTCACTCGGAATGCAAAAGTTTAATGGAATTTTACAGAAATTGAATTTATCAATGAATCCAATATTGCATGATGGTCTCAAATTTATCATGAGCAGCATAGTACAAAATGACAATGTCGTTGATTTAGATATTTCCACTTGTGATGGATTTTCGTGTACATCATATGGAACTGCATTTCAAGAACTCATTAATTTAATATCCACGTCAAGAAATTTACAGTATTTAGATATTTCAAATAATATCATTGCATCTGGAACTACAAGGAAAGAGTTTATAAGAGCACTTGAGGGAAATTACCACATATCTAAAATTTCATGCTTAAATTGCGGTAATATTAAGCTATCGACAAGTATACATTATACATGATAGAAATATTTTTAGATTTCAGCACAAAAGAAGACGTTGATATCCATATATTATGCCTTAGAAATGAATATTACAGGCAGAATGATATCCTAGGAAAGGATTCGTTTACACGTAAAGACGAAATAGAAATCGAGAAATGGCTACGACGTACAAAACATCCGCTTTTGATGCGAGCTCACATGTATATGCCGACGGAAAATTTGATTAAGTGGAAACGTAGGAAGAACAAAAAAAGTCTGTAAGCAGTCGGTAAAGGATTGATATGCGTCCTATTTATTCATATAATTGAATGAATTATGTTCGGAAAATTTAATAAATTGAGTATAAAGTCTCGACTATCAAATGATTAATAATATTTTTATTACCTCAATTTAGATGTGTATTTTATGATTTTATCGATCACGTGCACGTGAACAACCACGTGTTTGATTCGTTATTTCTTAACGGTAAGAAAAAATTTGAATTTGCTCACTTGAATAACAACAAAAAAATATTTTTTCTACGTTCTTTGAAATAAATTTAATTATTTAAGTTTTTAAGAGAATGCCGCAAGGAAGGAGAAAAATCCCGTTCTCTGGCAAGCAGAAGAAGCAGCAGTTGATTGTTAAAAGACAAAATCAAGGTAAATAAACGTCATAATTGTCAATTCGAATCTATTTTTCAATATTATGAAATATTAATGTATTACACACATATAGCACTGCCGATAAATCTTATCCGGAAAGTTCAAGATGATTCAGATACATCCAGTGAAATAAGCGAGAATGCAACATTAGCTGAAAAGATCCAAAAAATACATGTACAGCCAATAAAAGATTTGAGAGGTAAATCAAACCGATACGTCCTTCAGTTCCATGCTGAATCTCCAAAAGAGATAAAGGAACTAAGAGAAAAAGCACGGCAACCATTAAATTTTGCAAGAGCTGAAGATTTAGAAGTTGATGACTTTAGTTTTGATGATTTTGACATACCGAAAAGACCGTCATGGGATTATAAGATGAAAAAGGAAGTGCTATTGGCTAATGAAGAACGATATTTCTTTAAATATGTCACTAATCTCGAGAAAAAGCACTACGATGATCTGAAACATTTGAGTTGCTTTGAATTAAATATAGAAACATGGAGACAACTGTGGAGAGTTATTGAATTGAGTGACATCCTCCTAATCATTATTGATGCTAGATATCCAACGTTTCTCTTTCCGCCTTATCTATATCAATATGTTACAGAAGAATTAAGGAAGCATTGCATCGTTATGATGAATAAAATCGATTTAGTTGAAAGTTCGGTCGTACTTGCATGGAAAAAGTACTTTGAAGAAAAATATAAAATCAATGTTGTGCTGTTTACGTCATATCCATCGTACAATCTGAGAGGACAAACGCAAAATAAAAGTGGATTGCAAATTCGAAGAAGAAAAGGTAGAATGAAAATGGCATGTGAAGGAGCAATGGAAGTTTATAAAGCATGTAGCAATATAGCAAAGACTCAAGTCGACTTATCAAAATGGCACGACAAAATTCAAGAAGAAATTAATACTGCATCAAATTATGACGATGATAACGACGATACGGAAGTAGAAGTTGAAAGAAATCACGTAGACGATGTGAAAGATTTTGATTTTGAAGAACACGAACTTTTTAAGAATGGAGTTTTAACAATCGGAACTGTCGGTTTTCCAAATGTTGGAAAATCATCAGTATTGAATGGATTAATGGGAAAGAAAGTTGTATCAATCTCACGGTCTCCTGGCCATACCAAGCATTTTCAAACAATATTCCTAACTGAAAATGTCAGACTTGTTGATTGTCCTGGACTTGTTTTTCCAAGCGCAACACCGAAAATTATGCAAGTGCTTTTAGGAAGTTATCCAATAGCTCAATTGAGAGAGCCTTATGCATCTATTAAGTTTTTAGCTGAACGAGCTGATCTTCAAAAATTGTTAAATCTTAAACATCCAGAAGAAAATAGCAAAGAATGGTCTGCTATGGACATTTGTGAAGCTTTTGCAATTAAACGAGGATACATGACAGCTAAGACATCAAGACCAGATACATATCGTGCAGCAAACTCAATTCTAAGAATGGCATTGGATGGTAAAATCACAATTTCTTTAAAACCTAGGAATTATCACAAGAACAAAGCATTTTGGGAATCTCATCCAGAACTCCAAAAAGTTAAGGAACTGCAAGCAATTGGAAAAATAATTTCTACAAACGATGATGATGCATACTCTGAAGATGACGATGCACAAAAGCCAAGTGATTATGTCTTAAAACCTGAAAAGAAAGGCGCTTCAAAGCGTGACATATATGATAAGGATAATGAGGCTGATAGTGAAGGTGAAAGCGATGAATGTAATGTTGGTGCTTCTAGTTCTAATCCATTTGATGTGCTAAATGATGAGCATGAGTAAGGAAATTATGATTCTCTCTAAATTCAATGAAATAATAAAAGCTAAATTATTTTTTGAAAGAAAAAAATTAATTCTTTTATAATCTTTTATTCTTTTGGCATAATATACAGCATTTCTATAAATTAAAGAAGTAGAAATTTTTGCTCAAGAAAAAAATTTGTAAAAAGTGATTTTTTGGCGAAATATTCCATCCTTTAGATTCATTAATACCATGAAAATGAGAATTTCCTCTCTGATTTCCATTTATATTCTTGACGTTCGATTGTAAAAACTTTAATGAAGAAAATAAAAAAAAGAACAAAAATAAAAATGATTATATGAAGTTTATACACACTTAATAAAATAATATAAAATAAATTCGTAAAAGCCATGTTGCTAAAATTCATAAGGGCTATTAATCTAAACATTTAGGTCAGAGGTTGAAATTATCGATCGCAACCGAATTTAATAAAAATTCTTAAAACTGCTTTTTAAAGGTATTTCAAAATTTGAAACATTTTGCTGTTGAAAGGTTCTAAAGCGATAAATTTGGATTTGTAAGGTTTTCAAATGACAAAATTTCTTAATTTGTAAGGTTTTGACATGACTGTTGTAATGTTCCATAAAAACCGTTACAAATTTTCAAATTTCTGTATGAAAACCTTACAAATGTTTTTAAATGCTACAAATTTTTAACTTTCAAACTTCCACCTCTGATTAATCATAATATAATTCTTTTGTATGAGCTCTTATTTACAATGTGACATGAAAAATTATGGGTCTGGTATGTAAAACACATATTAATTTTTTCGAATGCGTTTTATGGAAATATTTTATTTGCTTTGTGAAGAAATTGGAGTCAGGACAGCAAATATTTATGCAAATGCCTCATGAATAAACATGAAAAACACTAGACTTTGTCAGAACATTATAGTTTTTTGAGTTCACACCGACAGTTTAGTGAGTTTTATACAATTTTCAGTTCATACCTGTCAGATAATCGCTTCTTCAAATCTCCTGATTGATGCTGATAAGTTTGAACATAAATATATTGCTCGTGTTCGACGAGAGGCGCTGAAAATTCATCCGAATATGTAATCTGCTCTATAGGCTGTGATGATTGAGACTGAACTATGCTTGTCGAAGGAGGATAAATAGTACTGCTAATGTCGTGCGGCATAGATAAAGATGATGTGATTAAGTTACTGCCGTGCATTGATGATTGTAATGGCTGTTGATAATTTGAATGTGTTGTTAATAAATTATAGGATGTACTTTCATCAGTACTGAAAAAAAATAAACAAAAATTTTTCAAAAAGTGTGTCAAAAAATGTAACGGTTTTCAAAAATTCAAAAATGTAAGCTGTTGTATGGTTTTTAAATGGGTGCAGAACTTTACAAATTCACAAAAATAAATTGTAAGGTTTTATAATAATTATTTGAACCCAAAGCCATACAAATCCTTATGCAACGAAATTGTAAGGTTCTTATAAAAATCAGGTAGACTTCATCAAAAAATAAAGGATAAAGTGACCAAAATTAGGAAAACTTACTCAAATAAAATCCAAATAATGTAGTAACAAAGACAGATTCCAAGTGATAATACTACTACGAGAATGAAAACTAATGCGAATGGAAAGGGTCGTGATGTTGTGTCTTCCCAATAGCGATCACATGTCAAGTACCAGCAAACCGCTTTATTCATTTCATCTAAAATAAAATGGCAAAAAAAAATAATCAATTAAGAAATAGAGAGTTGAAATGTTTCACTTCACTGACTTTCCATGTTCTTGAAATCTTCAGTTGATAATTTAACTAAGGCTCCGGTAATGCAAGTTCTTATAAGCTGCTCACATCGTGTCTTAAGCTTATGAATTTCATCATTTTTACAATTAGCTTTCAGTTTCTGTAAGTTAGATAATCGACCGAACTTGCTCGATGACTCGCATGTGGTGTTTGAGTTGTCTTTTTCTGTATTATTGGTTTTATCCGTGAGCTTGTCATTTCCATCACCTTTTGACTTTTTCACATTTCCAGTGCACAAATTTCTACGCCTTTTATGGATCTTCTCCTTAACTTGTGGAATTTCAATTTTATGTCCCGTAGCTGCTAAGAGATCATTTAATTTCTCTTTAAGATTTTGTGGAAGTCTGAATGAATTACTACTCATATGTGATTTGACAACTTCTCGTCGTGCCGCAGCTAATGCTGTTGCCTCATTATAAAGCTCTATATCTGTCGATGCTGAATTACTAGCAATACTTCCAATCGATGAATCTTTCGTTACCAATACGTCACACCTTAAAATATCACAATAATCGGCTAAACAAATTGCATCTTCGGCCTCATTCACATGTCCTTTATGGCGATTATCAAAGTGCAAATCGAGATATTTTTCCTCATAGAAGCTCTTGCCACATAAGCTACAGGTAAACTGTGTTGGTCTATGTCTAATTTTGGCATTCTCTTGCGGGAGAAATAAGTCTCTTTTGGGATGCAAAGGACACTCTATTGGAATTTCGATGTTATATTTTTGGAATATGGGTGTCAATTTCGCTTGAATGATTTTACGCACAATTCGTGTGCTGTCGCGTGAACACTGAATTTTGACTGTACGAGGTGGCCATGGAATAAAAGATAACAAACAAATAAATATCACCTGTGAATAGATAAGAGAGAAATGCGTCAATTAGTGCAGTTGTTTCAGACGGGGTCTATTGTTTTAAATTAATATTGAAACCATGAACCCCCTAAGTTATAAGTAAGTTTAATATGGAACCTTTAAGAGAATTATAAAATAAGGGTTTCTTATGAGGACACAACACATTTTTTTTTAATTATAGACTTTACTTTCCGACAGTCCTTGACAAAGTAATTTGTGCAGTGATTTTCACTTTCTTCAACCTACTGAACTTACTTCTATAAATGCTTCACGGAGAAAATTGAGAGAGAAAAAAGAAGCAAATAGGGGGGTTGATTTATCGATTTTCTTTCCCTAATGCTCTGAATAAAAAAGTTTGAGGCCTTCCTCTTCAATTTTAATTAAAAGTCTTTTTCACCATATAGACTGACTATCTAGGTCAACATTTATGATTCCAAAAAATATATATCTATAATGATTTTAAATAAACTATATGCTACACGTGAGCATAAAAATTCGGATAATCGATGTTCTTACCTCAAAATGAAAATTTTTCGACCGCATTCACAATTTACTAACATTAATGGCTAGTACAAAAAATTATATACACTCTTTTTGTTCTTATTATCATTAAAAAAATTAAAACTTCTCAGATAGATTAATCTGAGGAAAATTTTTCGGAAAATCGATATTTTTCCCGAAACTAGAGTCATTTTCTTAACGCACTTACAGACATTTAAAAATATGCAAAAATCGTAACGGTTGAGAAAAATTTAAATTTTCGAAATATAAACATCGAGCAGGAAAAGAATTTAAAGAGAGTAAAAAACAATTTTCTTTAATTAAGTATGAACCAGCAAGGCATATTGTACGGAGGAGATGAAATTGGTGCATTAGTCTTCGATCCGGGCCATCAGTCGCTGAGATTGGGATTCGCACAGGTATAATATTGATGAAATTTAAAATTTTAATCGGCATTTCGGATATAAACAATTTCTCTTTAAAAATTTGACTTATAGGAAGATTCACCAAAATCAGAAATACCATCAGTTGTAGCTGTTTCACCAGGCTCTGCTAATGGAATCACAGAACCTGAAGCAAAATCTGATAATAACATAACATCCAGTAAGTTAAAAATGAGATTTAAATGCTTAAAATTATTACGACATAAGAACCACTTTTTTTCAGATAAATATTATATTGATACCACCTTTTTGAATGTTCCGAGATCAAACTGTGAGATCAAAACATATATGAAAGATGGAATGATAGATGATTGGGAACTTTTTGAAAAGGTATTGGATTATGCATACAAGAAGGTGATTATGTCCGAGTCAGAGCTACATCCAGTATTATTTTCGGAAGCATCATGGAATACCAGACAGAATCGCGAAAAATTGACAGAATTAATGTTTGAAAAGTATAATGTCCCAGCATTTTTCTTGGTGAAAAATGCCGTTCTTGCTGCTTTTGCAAATGGTCGTGCAACTGCATTAGTCGTTGACAGTGGAGCTAAACATACATCCGTTGTTCCAGTTCATGAAGGATATGTCTTAACACAAGCTGTAGTTAAATCTCCTTTAGGCGGTGATTATTTGTCCATGCAATGTCGTCAACATCTTGAAACACAAGGAATTGATTTAACAATGGGATATGCCATATCTGGAAAGGATGTTGTAAAGGAACGTGATCCACCAAGATATACGAAAAGAACACTTCCTGAGAATTTAACGACTTCATGGCAAAACTACATGCTTAGGCAGCAATTACAAGATTATCAAGCAGCTGTTGCTCAAGTATTGGAATCGCCGTTTGATGAACGAGTTGCAGCACAAATTCCAGCTGTTCATTACGAATTTCCAACTGGCTATCATCAAGATTTCGTTTCAGAACGTTTTAAGCTTGCTGAAAGTCTTTTCGATCATACAATGTTAGGAGCTGGTCAATTAGCATCAACTTGTGTCTCAAACTGCGATGCTGACATACGACTAGCTCTTTACGGATCTGTTGTTGTGACTGGTGGAAATAGTCTTCTTCCTGGTTTCGCTGAACGCCTAAATCGTGACTTGTCACATCGTGCACCATCAAATACTAGAATTAAAATGATTGTGGCGAACGGAACCGTTGAGAGACGCTTTGGAGCATGGATTGGAGGGTCAATTTTGGCTAGCATAGGAACATTCCAGCAAATGTGGATTTCCCAGCAAGAGTATGAGGAAGGAGGAAAAACTCAGGTCGAACGAAAATGTCCATAAACAAAAGAAAAAGTCTTAATTTCATTAATAATAATTATTATAATTTAAGATTCTCATAAATAAGAAGAAGAATTCAAAGATTTTGACAAACTTGACTAATAATGATCATTTCAAAAATAAAGGAGAGATAACTGCAACTTTTTGACGTATGTATAAAAATATTCGAACTTCCACCTTTTCAAGTTGTTTGGAATGGACAAAATTTTGTTGTACATTAATTTGTAAAGCTGCTGTTGACAATTTTGTCAAACTTTGAATTTTAACTGCTTTCACGAGTTAAAATTAAAGTATGAAAAACCACCAAAATATCTCTCATAACCGACTTACAAGCATCTAGATGTTAATCATAGCATTACTAGATACCTGGTTTACCATATTCAGCGTTTGAATTTCATTAAAAATCTTAAATTATCTTACAATTTTAAAAAACTTAAAATTATTCTCTTTGGTTGTGTAAGTAAGTTGTGCTCAGCATAAAATTCAAAATATTTTTTTCCGTTCACAAAATTCCCGAAAATTTCGACGGATCTTGTTCTAACTTACAGTGATCGACTATAGTCCACAGCTATTGATTATAAAAAAAATTGTTACGAAAGAGAATTGGTAAGATGTACATCTTTTAATAAATTATATCATAAATAAGCAGGTCAAAACACTTCCGCGTATATGAGAATTCAAAAATAGAGTTTAATGAACGATCTACATAGATTCGGCGAAATTCTTATTATTTTTTTGATCTAAGACGATGTGTCCGTGATAGTGAAAATTGTTTGTCTGTATTCAATTGGAATAATAAATTAAAGACAAGTTCTGGCTATTGGATGCAAACGAAATAAACAAGAAGCATGTTTTAAGACTTTCTTATGAAATATTTTCAAGTTTTTTATCAGAAAATGATCAGGCATGCAATTTGCAACATTTATAGACGCAATGACTAAGATGTTTGTTCACCTTTTCGCAGAAAATTCGCAGATTTTCAACTTCTTGTTCCACTGTCTTCTTATTTTAAGATTCATCAAAACAAACGGACATGAAAAACATGCAAATCAGCTCGTCAACACTACGTTATATATAGTTACAGTATGAATATAGCCGAACTTTATATCCAATATATCGTGCTTGTATTTGTACATTCGTTCGTTCGTGACAGTGACTTTATGATCCTCTATTAAATTTTTCCTCATTCAAATACTAGAATCACTCAAGAGCAGACGTTAAAAAACAAGTTCTATACCAAACGATATAAAAACAAAGTTAAAAAAGTTAATTAAAGCAAGAAAAAAAAATATATTAGAGGAAGAAGAATGGCACATCAGATACAAAAGCTGTTAAGAACGACACCAAATGTCATAGGACGTGCATTTGCATCAAGCTACAACAATGTTTCAGGTAAGATTATCTTCTTACTATTTTTGGGATAAATGAACTTTGTTTAGTAAGATAAACTGAGGCTTGACAACCGCGATCAGCTGTTTGAGGAATGTTCCACAACGCCTGTACAGCTGTTTTAAATTGTTGCATCTTTTATTTATAGACTTAATTGAATGTTTTGCGCAGTAAAGTCAAACAAATTACCAGTCATTGAGACTGGATACATTTTCTCCAGTAACAGTGCTGGATCATAAATGTAAAATGCAGATATTGCAGAATTATTTAAAATGTTTCAAAACCTTACAAATTCTTTCTTATGTTGAAACATTTATATGGTTTTGAAATAATTTAAAAAATCGACTGTTTGTTATTAAACCTTACAATTGGGAAAATCGTTTGAAAACCATACAAATTAATTCAGAAAATCAAAACATTTATATGGTTTCAAGGAAGTTTAAAAAATTACCGGTATAAATTTCAAGGTCTTTTGTTAAGTTGGGAACTAATTTTTTATAGGAGATTATTAATAGATTTTTATGTGAGACGCTTCGTAAACATCGTAAAAATCAGATACAATCTAGATAACTGACTTATTTAGTTCCTCATTCGTAGCATTCACAAAATGTTAAAATTAGGTGACACAGTAAAAATCACCAAAATACATCACGGACGATGAAAAACTAGTCACGGACAGTTGACATTTAAATGTCCTAGATTTTTTTTTCACAAAGACATAATGTCTTTAAAATTAACATCCAAGGCTGTGAACTGGATATGAATGTAAATAATCATTCAACAATTTTCTTAGTCGCTATAAGTGGAATGGAAAAATACAAAATGCAAAAATATAACATAATGAAGGAAAAACTGAGAATTTTCTATTAGGAAGAGATTTTCACATTTTCTTCACGTGAACATACTGTTTACAGCTATTCAATTTTCACTATAAAAATTTCTGTTCACGATTTATTCGAGTGTTTATTTTCGTGAAAAAACCGGCACAATGACCTTGTTACACATTCATGTTATTCTCATCCTACGCATCTCTTTTCTATCTTCTATTAGATATGCACAAAAATAATTTACATTTTGCTGTTCAAAGAGAATATCCAAAAACTGAAACTCTTCCATTGCCACCAAATATTGATGCTAATGAAACGACACGATTTTCACCATTGAGGACAAGAGACATTGCTGCATCATCCATAACAGTTCATGACATAATTAATGAGATCGATGTCACGTCAGAACAGATTAAGGCACCAAAATGTGAAGAAAAACTTATTGAAGATGAACATTTGGGAGGATATGACAGACAATCACCGATAAACTTATCATCAAGCATGCAGACACAAGTACCCGAACCATTCTCACCACCACCAAATGATTTACTTTATTCTTCATACTTATCATTCCCTGGAGGCAGTTGGGGTATGTAAATGCTTACAATCTATGGATTAATTTTAATCTTAGGATTTATTTTTTTTAATCTCCGGATATAGTTTAATCCAGCTTTTCAGTAATTTTAATCACACGACTTCCAATTTTTCTTTTCATCAACAGGACAGCAAACAAAGTACCTGTCACATGAGCTGAATGCATCACATTATACGGAATTGAGACAAGAAATGCGATCAGATTGGTCCTCATACAAAGGTTGTATGAATTCCTATATAATGTATAATAATCGAGTGTTTGGATCTAATTTGCATCTATTAACTTTAAACCGAAATCTTACTAACATTCCTAAGCGCTTTATATCGATTGGCACTGTACAGTTTTGTAGTAATCAGAATGAGTCAAAAGACGTTAAGCCAGAGAAGGAAACTGGAAGATCAAAATTGAAAAGGGCAGTTAAAGAATATGGATCGACGGTTGTTGTGTTTCATGTTGGAATTTCATTGATTAGTTTAGGTATCTGTTACACGCTCGTATCAAGGTAGACACACATTTCAGTTCCTAATTCCTATTCATGATCTTGTCATCAGCTTTTGTACATAAATTTTCTTGAATGTTTTAATTTTAAAAGCTCTTGCACAATGCCTTTGCATGATGAACATTTATGAGTCATGTCCCTAACATGCAATGAGTGTATCCATTGAATGTTTAGTGATGTGCTGTTAAAATTTTAAATCTAAGCTAACAGATATCCAATTTCTATCTTTTTTACAGCGGACTAGACGTATGCTTACTACTTGAAAAGATGAATTTGGTAGACAAGCTTCCAAAGATTGCAGAAAATGCTAGCACCTTTATAATATCGTATGCAGTACATAAGGTCTTTGCACCAGTCAGAATATCCATAACATTATTTTCCACACCATTTATTGTTAAATATTTAAGAAAACGAAATTTTTTGAAATAATATGACATATTAATTATATTAATTAATGAATTGACTATTTTGTATGATTAATAAAGAATTTTTTAAAAATGCAAGAAATAACGACTTTTTCAATTTTGAATTCTGTTCGTAAATGAAATTTCGCGCGCTTTTAAAAAGTATAAACAACAAAAAAATCAGAATAATAAAATAAATTATTTCTACACGATGTACATTGTTAATTGCTAAGTTTAAGTAAGAAATAAGGAAAGTGAAAATGGCTATCGAGAATGCACAAGTTTTAAGGCTCGTTGCACGCCTGGTTATGGGTAAATTTTAATTTTTTTCAAATTCCTTCACCTACTTAATTATTTTTTGTAAACATCAGATTATTTGGACGAACAAGATCTCACAGATGCTTATAATACATTTTGTGAAACGAGTCGTCATCTAACAGATCAGGAGTATCAATCATATAGTCAAGGAATCAAAACATTAGATAATGGATATGGTCTCATTAATATAGTTACAGAATACTTTCTAATCAAAGATAAATTAAGAGATTTCATCAGAGCATGTCCAAAAACGTCAATAATAATCAGCTTGATCGATACAGCGAATCTTCAGTCACGTCTAGACATAATTTTGAAGGTATTGAAGGATAATTTGTTGAAATTTGATCAAGTTCAGGAAGATATTTCACGGAAAAGAAGAAAGACTGAAAATGAGCTATTTCAAGTGTCACAAACAAACACAAGTACACCAGAAACTGTACAACCATTAAAGAAACGACGAATTTCATGCTCAAAGTCAAATACCTTAAATAATAGCAATAACAATGACAACACAAAGGTAGAAGAGAAAATTTTAGGGAATAAGGATCTGAAAATTTATATTAGTAGTCCTGAAACATCCAACAAAGAAGATGATGTGACTGACGATGAATCATCAATAAAAGCGAGCACATCCAATACAAAAATAGCACCGCCACAGGTAAAATAGTATTAATTTAGGTCATTCGTAATGCTTATTCTAATTTTCCTTCATGTCTACGTGACATTACAGCTATTATCGGAAACAATCTTAAAGAAACCAGATTTTGCAGAGAATTTAGCTGAAATTATCAATAAAACGTTGGCAGTGCATGATAAGTCGACGGAAGCAATAAGTTCACAGAATGTTCTTACACAGCATGATGTTCAAGACATTATGTCCAAAACTGAAAATGATTTCGAAGATATATTAAAGGAAGTGATTGACAAATACTTGATAGAAGGATCTGACAGCAGTAAAGTGGAATCACCAACTGCTGCAGATAGTAAAGATGTTCCAATTAAGCAAAGACTTAGACCACGAACCGCAAAGAAAATACCATCGACAGAACGAAAGAAGAAAAAGATAAATATCATATCAAATGAGATTTATACAGGTCCAATGCCTTTATGTGTCAAGATGCCTCCAAATACAGTAATATCACCAATTGAGCAAGCAACAACGTCTGTTATGTCAACAGAACAAACTATAAATTCTCATTTGTCTCAACCATTACTTATAGTTCCTTTTATGCAATCATTACCAACATCCACCACAACGTTTATTCCTTTACAATCATTTCATTCTACTGGAAATATAATTTGTGAAAATAATGTTCCAATTACAACAACTGCGGAACTACCTACAAATGTGCAAATAATTCTAAGTGAAAATAATCCAGCATTAACGAATGTAATACAAAATAATAATAACGAAGAGGCTGACAAGGTCCAAAAAACTCCAAAAACAACAATTCAAACAAACTTTTTGGAATCAAAATGCAAATCAACTCCAAGACGAAAAGCGACACATGTAAGAATTTTAGATTTTACACATACCCCTTCGGGTCGATTGGCTGCAATTAAGGAATGTAAAACTCCATCGAATAGTAGTATAAGGCATGAAACTCCTGGATCAGCTCCAGCATCGATTATGACATCACAAAAAACGAAGAAAGAGACAGTATCAATTAAACCACCTCAAAGTGTTGAAAATGGAGATAAATCGGTAGAAATAATTGATGAAAGTTCAAATTCTAATTCTATATCCAATACTCCGAAAGTTGCAAAGAATCGACGAAGGAGAAAAATTGAGATTGACTCAAAATCTGATAAGGCACACGATGAAATTTCACCAAAACCAATGACTGCTGAAGAATGGAATAAAATGAGAGAGGAACAGAAAAGCTTATCAGTGGACGACAGAATGAGAATCTTATTCCAGCAGAGTGAAGTCAAAACTAGTGTTAAGAAACGCAAAAAAACACCAAAGAAAAAGAAGGAAGATCATAAAAAGGTGAGAACCATACAAATGTTTTTAAGAATAATTTATACGGTTTTGAAATCAGCAATTATTTGTAAGGTTTTAAAATTTAAATTTTATCTAACCGTTATTTTTCAAATCTATTTTAATCGTTTTTTTTCTTCTTAATTTCAGTCATTAAAGAAAGCAAAACCTTTAATTACAACTGTACAGCAAACCAAGGGAAAATTATGTGCTAAGTTTAAAGTAACATCGCCAAGAAAATCAGCATTACTAAGAAAATCACCGAAGAAGAAGAGACTTTCCAGTTCAAATATTGTAAATAAATTATTGGCAGAAAGTGCAAAAGAAAATAAAATTGAGACACAAAAAGTAAATGATTCAGCAAACGATAATCAACAGCAATTAAGCCTACCAAAATTAATGACAAATGAAAGTCTCGTAGAGGATAAAACAGACGAAACTGACACATCAGATTTAAATAGGAGTGACACAGTTCAAGAAGTTGCTAATTTATTAACTAATCTGCCTGAAACAATCCTCGCCAAAACAAATAGTGGAAATAGTTTTGAGATAGCAAGTCAAAAGACATTAATTGATGCATCAATACTTATGGAAACGCCTTTAAAACTAGATTCTATTAGTCCATTGCCAAATACTCCAAGATTTGCAGTTCCTTTAATTTCGACACATCAAGAAACGCCAGTTGCGAAGGAAATAGTTGCAATAACGACAGTCTCTTCAATACTTAAAGTTTGTGACATTTTAACGCCTAGTTTTCCAATAACGCCAGGATTTAAAATAACACCAGCTAAAAGTGAATCAAGTCCAAGCACTGGATATGTAAGTCGTAAAACTGATTACTCGTCATGTAGCTCATATTATAAGCCTGATGAATCTGAAGACATTAATTTAAATATTGATAGTATAATTAAACAAAGAATAGCAGATCGAAGCTCACAATCGGAATCAGAAGCGCCTGTAATAATCATTGAACGGAAAGAAACAATAAGAACTGGGAGTATGAAGAAGGTTGAATGTCCTGGAGCACTGGAAAGGGTCTTGTCATTTACAGAAGAACAAAATGCAATTGTAATTCCACATTATAATATGAATGAAGAAGGATTATTATCGGAATCAATGATAACAACAGCATCCGACGAAAGTTCATCGTCATTTACATGCTCGACATGCTCAACAGATCCATCAAGTGACGATAATACAATGGATAAATTAAATAAAGCATTAAATGTCGAGGATCGTGATTCTGAATGGCATTGTGAAGAAGTGGAAATAGAAATGGCAAATATAAGTAACAAGTCATTGGTCAATGAGAGAACTGGCGAGGTTCGATTCCCACTAAGAAGTTGGATAACCCCAAAAAAGATTGATCCACAAGAACCAAAGTTAATTATTGATGAAATGAAAGCTGATAAAGTTTTGGTGACAATTCCAACAGAAAATATCAAGTCAGTCGAGGAAAAGAAGGAAGAACAACGAGCACAGGCGAAAGCTAATATGGAAGCAATTAAGCAAAGAACAATTAATATCCTCAAAAAAGAAACAAAGAAAGAAATTCCAAAATTCAAAAAGGCGAATGTCAAGCAATTTAAATTACCGGCTGAACAGCCAAAATATGTTCCATTAACAAGACGTGATCAGATTTTACAGGCAAGCTTATTTTCTGAACGTCCAAAATCCACAGCATTAAAATTAATTCCTTCAACATCAATATCATCATCCTCAAGACGAAAGTGTTTAACGCCTAGAAAAACAATAATTATGGATGAACTTCCAAAAGCAGATCCAACAGTAAAGAAAATTAGCAATAAGAAACGACAAAGTAATGAAAAAGGAAAATCGGATAGTGTCAAAATAATCAAGTCACCAACTAAGCCTGAAAAAGTATCAGTAGAAAATATTAATGATAATGCAATGATGCATGATGATCATCCAAGCCTTAATATCTCAACATCTTTCCATTCGTCTGATAACGAAGAGCCTGAAAATACAGTTGTCAATGTAATACAGAAACCTGTTGAGGAAGGCTCTAATACCTTCCAGAGGACATTAATAGCACAAGGATTCGAAAAAACGGAAGCAAAGGATCTTCAAATTAAATTTGTAGACAAAATTGAGGATGAATTACAAAAAGTAACCGAAAATGTTGAATCTGTGCCTGAAAAGCCAAAAGATCCACCAGAAAATAATAATAAGGAAATTAAAGAAAAAGAAGTTTTAAAAGACAAAACTGAGCTCAATTTAAGTGTTCCTGGAAGCGAATCAGAAACAGAAGAGGATGACGACGAGTGTGCATTTGCATTTGCGGATATCCTTGAAAGAAATGTCTTTACATTTGAAGAACCAGTAGATTTTGTGCCTAAAAAAGAGAAATCAAAAATTGCTAATTTGTGTGCACCGTCAAAACTTCAAATTGATGGACGAACAGTCAAGATAGATTTTTGCAATCCTATAGACATTTTTACAATGGAACCGACAAAGAAGTCTGCTGATGATAAGAATGAGAAGAAAGAGCAACAAAAGGAAATTTTGAAACCTTCAGAGTGAGTAAAATCGACAGAATCAACTTGCATTATTAAGGAACTATTTAATAATTTTAAATCTTTATTTATAGGCCCAAAATTCTAACAAAGGAGATTTCCATTGACAAAATTCTAACGATGATTCATGGGAATCATTAGGACATTTATTGCAATTAAGGAAAACTAGGCCCAAAAAATAATTAAAACATACAAAATTTACCGTTTTCAAAAATTCAAAACGAAACAGATTTTTGCTATTCAAAGAATAACAGCTTTCGAAAATTCAAAAATGGACCTGATCTTTTGAAAATTCAAAAAATAGCGGTTTTTAAAATGTAGAAATCACGGAAAATGAGCACTTTTATATCTCACAAATACAGTCGCTGAAACGAATGTAAATTAAGTTTAAAAAAAGCAGACGAGATGAAAATTCATAAATTATTAAAAATTTGTAAAGATTGAGAATTTTCGTTTAACATAGAAAGTTTGAAGTATTTTTATTTGTAAAATAGTGTGTGAATAAATCTTATTTATTTTTACAAAAAAAAAATATTGTTTATTATTCATTTCATAGTGTAATGATCCAACAAGGAGTGAAGCTTTTAAAAGAAGATTAGTAATAGTATTAATTGATTATGAAATGTCAAAAAAAAATCAATTTATTTCCTTGATGGTTGTAAGCAAGTGGTTATAGTTGAACTGTCAGGAAATAGTTGATGATAAGTGACTAATGGAACATAAGCAGCAGTAATAACTCGACCTGCAAACCATCGTCCATGAAGGGCATTAACAGCAAGCACTGCTGTTGCAATAGATGGACATTTTACATAAACTTTTCCTTCTGAAGATGAAATGTCAACGTATACATGATAAACACCGCCATGCTTGTTGCATTCCTCAATGACATCGTCTTGTATTTCCTGATCCCAATTAAGTGTCGTTTCTGATGCTGGATCAAACATATTTACAAGTAAGAAACATTGTGTTGCTATTGTTGGCATTTCTTCTTGTGGAACAGGTTGTGTGACTGGCTGTGGAGCAGAAGCAAGCAAAGCATTGGCAGCTATTTGAGGAATTTCGAGCCCTGCATTTTCAGCTAATTTAAACATTAATTGTAATCGTCCTGTTGCTCCGAGATCTATGCCACTTCTATCCATTTCATCTGTGTCGAGTGATGCATGATGTGTTGTTACGTCTAACCTTTCGGTCACATTTCCAACTTTCATCGGCCTTCCAGCTAGTTCGAAGCCATTTAATTGCTCTAATGCTTTCTTGGCGTCGTCTGCATTGTGGAACTGTAATGATAGTTAAGGAATTTCAATAAAATTGCTGATCATTAAGTTTGGGATTAAAGTTTAATCCTAGGATTTAAAATTGAACTAAAATGTATGAAACAACTGTTTAAACGACACATTATCATTAATGCGTCATAAAAAGTAAGTCAGAACTAGGAATTTTGATGTAGCACACTTCATCCCCTCAGTTAACCATGAGTGATAATAAAATCAGATTAGCCAAGGTCAAGGGCGTGCAAAAATTTAAATAAAGTGTTAAAACAGTCTCACGTCACCTTAATTTTGAAAAGTTCGACATTAAATTCAAAAATTCGATATTTAAGCCGAAAATTTGAATTTTAATTGCCGGTTATAAAAAATGTAAACGAAGGAAAAATTTGAAATCGAAATTAATGATATTAGCTACTATTAATCATGATTTGTCCTAATCAACATAATCTTTGTTATGTTTTATCTCTTTTAAATAGTTTTCACCACAATAATGAGTTTTAAAAAGCAATTTATAAACATAATTATAATTCATGAAAAAAATATTACTAATACAGCTACATATTTTGTTTACTTTTGATATTTTCGTCTTGAAATTTTTTAAATCAATAATTTTTCCTTTTAGCTCAAAAAGTAAATTAAGGTTTTTATCTATCGGTTAAAATAAATTCAAAAAAATTGATAATAATTCTGAATCGAACTTTTTTAAGGTAACGTGAGACTGTATTAAATACTTACAGTAATAAATCCATATCCTTTACTTCGTCCCGTCTCTGCATCCATAATTAACTGAATATTATCTATTTTTCCAAAAGGCTCAAAAATTCCTCTCAGCATGTCTTCCGTAATATTAAAGTGAAGTGATCCAACATAAAGTCTCATAGGACCTTGAACTGGAAGTTTTGGCGGTGCTGGTGGCGTTGTATTTGCAAGTCGATTCTTCTCAGCCTGTGTATGCTGTACAGATATCGGGATTCCTAATAATCTTTGACCAGATAAGCCCAAAGCAAGTGCAACTGAAGAAATTTAATCCACAAATTAAACTCGGTTTTTAAATAATAAATTTGTGAACTTACCACTTTCTGGGTCTTTAAACTCAACATATGCGATTCCTTTGAATCTTTTCGTCTTATTGCATGTGATTAGACGAACATCTCTAACTTTACCGACACTTGAAAAGAACTCTTCCAAGTCACGTGCTCTCACTCGTTGTGATAATTGCATACAAAATATTGTACGTGAATCACGTTCTTCTGGTGACAACTCCTCAAATGGTGAATCATCTCTATAACCTAATCCATTTGGTGGCGTTCGACCTCGTCTGAATGGTCTTGGCGAATAAGAACGTTTTCGTCTGCAATCAAACAAGTTATTGAGAATTAATTTATTAGAAATTCTTAGATTATACAGCACGTAATGTAATTTTTTCCCAAAATTATAAATTGCAATGAAATGTATCACAATTAAATCAATTGGAACTAAAGGCTTTAATGTAGCATCAAATTTCCCACCAAATAACAAAATTGAAAGAATTTGTCACTCAGTTCTACTTCATGCTGTCCATAAAATAAACATTTGATAAATCTAAAGGTTACCTTTTGTCTGGCGAACGGCTACGCTTTTTTTCGAGTTCCTTCTTTTCGCGTTCTCGTTCCTTTTCCTTTTCACGTTCTTTTTCTCTGTCACGTCGTTCTCTATCTCTATCTCGATCACGATCTTTTGAACGTATTTTATCTTCATGATCTCTGGACCTTGAACGTCTGCGCTTCTCTTTTGATCTCGAACCTTCACGTTTTCTATCACTGTCTTTTTCAGGCTCACGTTTATCGCGTTCTTTCTGCTTTCGATCTTCTCTGTCTCTTGAACGATCACGACGTTTGTCTTTCTTGTGTTTTTCATCATCTTTTGTGCTTTTGTCCTTGTGGCGAGTTTCTTTTGAGCGACTTCGTCTGCAAATGGACAGTAAATGTGTTATAAATAGATGTAAATGTTAAAGTTGTTGTGTATTAGTTATGTCAAATACAAGTCATTGGTCATAGTTATTAATCAATTTGTATGCAATTTTTATCAATAAAATGTTTGAGAGCCTATTGTGTATGACTTACTTTGAGCGTTCTACAGTAGTTCCTCCATTCTCCTGATTCCTATCGCGGCTGGATCTGCGACGTTTTTCTTGTGGTGAATCCGAGCGACGCTTTCTTCCATCGTTTTTGTCCTATATATTGATACACATTGAAACATCAATTTTTTTATGGATTCAAATATAAAATAAAGTTGAGGTTTTTTTTTATTCGTTGACGATTCCGAACAGAAGTTAGTCGATCGCAGGATCACATAATAATTAAGTTTTTTAATCAGCAGGATGATGTAAAAATTAAAAAATTAAAAGAAAAATTAAGATAAATGATTAATAATTGAATGTTGCCATTGAAAATAAACAAAAAAAATTGTCAGTTTTAAAAGAGATTTCCTCGAGCAGCACAAAACAATTGTAATTGCTGCTCGAAGGACTTCTTAAAAATGAGTTCAATCATGATCGGTGGTTGTGCAATGAATGCAGCAGTTGGCAAAATTGATTGATCAGACACAACAAAAATGAGGGACAATCATTCTGTTCCGAATTCGCTGGTTCATACTTAATGCCTGCCAACGAGATATAGTGCTTGTAATCCACTTACCAATTGTTTCTATTCGTGCTTATTTTATTTCATATTGAATGCGATTTTTTTATACGTAATAGGCAATGAGACATTTTATATTATATTAACGAGCGTGCATTTCTTTCTGCAAAATAATAAATTCGCGTTTTAAACTTTTTGTCATAGTTCATATTTAACTATATATGAGAAATAGTCTATGTTGCTCAATTTCGACAACATTGGCTTTTGTAATTACCCAGAGAGATTATTTCTTCATTTATCATGTCAGATCAACTCATTCGAGATATCTATAAATATAATAATGAAAGAGTACATATGTTATTCTTCCCCAAATCCGAATTGAAAGATTATTAATTTGTTTTTTGGTTTTGTATAGAGGGTATAGAAGTAGACAAAAAAAAAAGATTTGTTATCAAACGATTGTTGACGAAAAGCATCGAAATCCTCTCTCATACATATAATTCAAGAAACACCTATTTTAGAGATTCAATGAGAAATAACGATAATATAAAAGAAAATTTAATATTTAAGGAGATTATGTCCACATCTTAGGCTTCTGGATCTAATAATCATTAATACTTTTTTTTTCTCAGGCAATTTCAAATATCGAGATCGAGTCTAAAATTAAATAAATTAAATATGAAAATATTTGGTTGGTGAAAAAAATGTAGCTAAACGCTGTTGATTGATTATGTTGCTCGAAGCCTTTTTACATAAATGTCAACACACTTTGTCTAAAAATAAAGAAACAATATATAGCAATAAAAATGAACATAAGAAAGCACTTCGTTGAGATGGAGAATAAGCTTTTTAAAGATCGCGGAATCTTTTCATTTCTTATGTTTATGTATATGTATAGCAATAGAAAGCAAGTTGATAAGAGATCGATCCATTATCGTGTACAACGAGTATTTTGAACTCTACATATTTTCAACATTTCAATTTCACTCAAAAAATACCTTTGCCCATCATTGCTGTAGACGAAGAAGAGTATACTGCACTTTGTCTATAAAAAACGAGTTTTTGTTCATATTGAGTGCACATCATTGTTATAATATAATTTAAATATTTATATATATTTAAAGACATGAACTTTAACGCTAAAAAGAGTATCATAGAGTTAAAAATTCCTGTACTTACATTCTTTTGTTTAAATGGTTCATCGAGCAGCGACTCCAAATAATCCAGATCATCTGCGTCCGTCATATTCGTGTGTTTATGCTAAAAACGAAAGAGTAAAAAACAAAATTGTAACTGTCCACTGGATGTGCGTTTTGGAATGTTTCAACTAATCTAGCGTGTTTTGACTATTGACTAATTATATTGATTCATTATTTATGCATGGACTGTATTATTAATGAGTATCACCATTTGAATGACTAATTTGAACAGGAAATAAACAGCATAACATTTATGATCCAGAAATGAGAAAATAAAGATGGCGAATTTGATAAAAAAAATTTATCTAACCAAAAAACTTGTGCAAACTTGATTTTCAAGTATTATTAGCTACTTTATCGAATCAAATGCTATCGAACAACTTTCATGGTGTACTTACCTTTGTGTTTTCAGCAAAATTAATCAATATCTATCGCTCTTTTAAATACGTTGAACTATTCTTGGTGTGGTCACTTTTCAAGTGCTTGAAAATCCACTTTTCGCCAATTGTTCACAATTTATTTGTTTTTTGTTTGATATTTTAAAACTTACTGGCCTTAAAATTAATCTTTTTGTGTGTTTATGTATCAAATCCACCGAAATAATTGAGGATTAATGCTCGACGACAAACTTTGTTGAAAAATGCTTCTAGAAACTTGATGTTTTTCGAAACTTTCAAATTTTTATTTACCGTTAAATCTCATTCATAATTAATTCTATTTATCTTATTCTTCAAATTAATGCTTGTTTCAACTCTAGAACGTTTAATATCAAATCTAAATTTCTCCATTAACTTTGTTTTAATTTTATAAACATCCATATCAATGGACTTAAGCTTTAATTCAACTGAAAATGACTTTAACTTCTCAAAAATGCGAATTAAATAATTAACACAGTTCTCGTCAAATTTTTCATCTTGCTGCAAAAGTATAAAGCCCTCAAAAATCTTTAGATTTGGAAGCATCTTTAAGCATTTGTCCAAAAACTTTGCATTTAATGGAATACTGATTTGTATTTTCATTTCCGTTATATTTGGCAGTGCTTTGACGAGTTTCAAGAATGCAGGCTCATTTAAATCCGCTTGAGAAGGTTTTATGGGACGGTAAGTTTGGGTAGGAACTGAATAAAATTCAGTAAGGCATATATGCTCAATGAGTGGAAAACATAGACAATCTAAATTATTGCAAATGTCTGAAAATGCTTGGCTGTAAGTATAATCGATGACAATTCGTGTTAATGCTTCAAAACTTCTTAAGTAAACATCTAAAAGATGTGAAACTTCGCATGCTAGTGAAAGCTGCAATAGTTTTGGATAGTTTAATCCCATTTGTTTAATCATGTTGACGGATATTTCAGTATGCTTTACTTGAATTGTTAAGCTTGTTAAATGCTCAAGCCTTGTCTTACTAAGTTCCTCAATATTGTCTTTTAATGACGAAGAGTAATATTCTTCTAAAGCTTCAATGCTTAAGACCTCTAATTTGTTGAGCTTGTGAAAATGTTCCTTAAAAACTGCTGGTTTCACATCATCAATATTGAGGCTTAATTCCTTCAGATTCCTTAAGTAGCATATAGCAACAAATGATTCATTATCATCTTCAAAGACACCACTGCAGCTTAGAACATCTAGCCTTACTAGATTTGACTGCAGTTGTAAAATAGACATTAAAGGTGTCTCCTGATTTATCTTGTACTTTTGTAATTGCATCCTTAAGTGTGTTAAAGTTGGTTTCACACAGTCTATTACTCCTTCTTCTTTATAATTGAACAGCTCCGAGTCATTTTCAGCTCCTTCTTCAGAGTCACTCATTACACAAAGACTGTTTACATAACTTTTACAATAGAAATTAACAGTAAGGCTGGTTAAGCGATTAGTGGGCAAATAATAATTGAAAAGTGCTGTTGTAGCATCATTACACTTGTAAATAATCAAAGATGTTAATCTCTCAAGTTTTAATGGCTCTGCTGGTTCATCATAAAACTCTGTCTCGATTTTCCAGCAGTCACAGCACAAAAACTTTAGATTTGGAAAAAGGTTAAGGATGCCAATTATTTCTGTTGCAGTCATTTTAACTTTATGCCAAGAAACATCAGTGATTGTAGATGCGTTAATTGAGCAGATTGTTCGGAGTTTATAAAATGTGTCCATAGACTGTGTATAGTTGGAATAAATTAAAATCTCACTAATGATGTTTTTGGAATTGATGATTGAGTAGTAAACATCCTTGTCCTTTAACTAAATTGATTACTGTAAGTTAATTGAATATTAAGTTAAATTTTCTACTTACTTTTTCCTCGGAGATGCACAAAGACTTTCTGATGTTTTTCATTTCGCAGATTAGTAAATAGAAACGCTTGCAGACTAGCTTGACTTGATTACAATCATGTTTTGCATGGGAAAATATTTTAAATAACAATTTATCACTCAGAAATTCCATTTATGATAATTATTTGGGTATATCCACAAATTTAAGAGTATTGTTGGACGGGAAAAAATAATATGCAGCACAAAATTAAATTAATTTTCAGCAGTTCTTTTGTTCGTTTGCTTAACCCCTAATTCAATGACTATCTGCGAGCCCAACCGTTTCATATTAAATTTAAACTTTGCACTTAACATAGTTTTCATAACATGAACATCCATATCAATGGCATTAAGCTTTAGTTCTACCGTAAATGAGTCAAGCTTCTCACAAACGCTTAATAAATAATTAACACAAGCTGTGTCAAATTTTTCATAATTTTCCTTTTGCTGCATAAGTGTTAAGTCCTTAAAAATCTTCAGTTTTGACAGTTTTTGTAGATTATTGTCTAAAAATTTCGTATTTAATGGCATGTTGACTTCTATTTCCATATCTGAAATATTTGGCACCACTTTGACTAATTTAGAGAATGCTGGTTCATTAAAATTAGCGTCAGAACCAAAATTAAAGCCTTTAAGCTTAATTGTATTAATGTTTGGATAAGTAATGCCGTCTAAGTTGCTACACATTAATGAGAATTCTTGACTGTAATGATAGTTGATCTCGAGATCAGTTAATGCTCTAAAGTTCCTTAGATAAATGTCAATTGGTAAAGGACGTTCACATTTATATGCCAGATTTGTTAAACATGGAAAATTCATGCCCATATGCTCAATTCTATTTAATGGAATTCCAATATGTTCAACATCAATGTTTAAAATCTTCAAATGCTCTAGTCTTGTATTGCTTAATTCCTCAATATTGTCTATTAATGAATGATAATCGCCGTCAACAGACTCAATATGCAGTTCCTTTAATTGATTGAGTTTACGGAAGTTCTCCTTAAATACGGCATGATTAATATCATCAATATTCATTTTTAAAACCTTTAAATGCTTTAAGCTACACATTGTGATGAATGACTCATCATCCTCATCAAAGATTCCATTACAGCTTAGTACGTCAAAACTAATTAAATTGGGCTGTTGCGGCAAAATTGACAGTAATACCGGATGATTATTATGCCTGTACTTTTGTAAGCGCATACTTAAATGAATTAAAGGAACTGGCACCCAATCATGAGATATTTCGTCAACGGTAAAGTTTAAATCATTTAATGCACTATTATTTGATATTAAGATTGAAGAATAGAAATCAGTTTCAAGCTTTGTCAAGCTATTCGCAGGCAAATAGTTGATGAACATTGATGTTGTTGCTTCATTACACTTAATTATACTCAAAAATTTAAGTGACTCCAGTTGCAAAGTATCAATTGGTTCATCATAATAATCTGTCTCAATCTTCCATGAATTGCATTTCAAAGTCTTCAGATTCGAAAAGAAATTAAGGATGAAAACTATTTCAGTTGAAGTCATTTTGGCTGAATCCCATGTTAATTCTGTGATTGTTGGTGCTTTAAGTGAGCAGATTGTTCGCAATTTCCAGAAAGAATTCAATGATTGAACATTGTTCGTATTCAGAGCCATTTTACTGAAGATTCTCTTCGAATAGACCATTGAATCGTACGTTTCTGGATCTTGTAACTGATTTTTTCTACTGTAAGTTTCATAATTATCAAAAAGTTTAAATTCGAACATACCTGTTTGTCTGAGATTGCCAGACATAATTTACTCTTATTCAATTGACAGATCAGCAGATAGAACCGCATGCAGACTTGCTTCACTTGTTCACAATCATTCTTAATGTGTCGAAAAACATCCAACAAAACTTCATCAGGTAAAACCTCCATTTTAATTGATTTTTCAATGAAAACTAGCACTACTAAGTATATCTTCTAGCTAAACAGTGTTGCTTAACGTGAATAAAATGATCTAATACACAGCACATCTTCTATTTAAATATAAATTAGGAGAGTATTTTTTACAATGTTTACATTGTTTTTAAAAACCCAACAGCTTCAAAAAATTCAAAATTAATCGAAATAGAAATTTCGCAAGATCTAGGGGATAATCAACTGAATCAAAAATGAGGTTTTCAAAATTAATAAAATCCGTTGATCACTAAAATCTACTTTAATTCACCAAATCTAAGTGAATTACAGCAGAAAACTTAGAGTATCTATTACATCCACAATCTAATGATTATTAAAAGCGATTGAGCATGAAAAAGTGATAAAATAAGGTCAGGAATAGACATTTTGAGCGAGTTATTGGAACCCTGTAAATTGTCTCGTTGGAGTTTTGTTGGAATTTTTGTAAGAGCCGCAAAGTAGCAAAGTTGTTCCTCATTCATATTTCTCTCGTGTTAAAACAGTGACATAGAAAATTATCTAAATACAATTAATCATGAAAAGTTCATTTCTTTTAATCCTTTTTGTTTTACCTACACTATTATTATTCATTGATAGCGGTAAGGACATGATTTAATTAAGAAAACAACAAGTTTGTGCAATGAACAGATTTATCTGCCACGCATTCAATGTTAATCAATTTTTTTACCTTTTATGAATGAAAATACTAATTAAATTTATACTTTAATTAATAATGCATCGTTTCTGGTGCAGGAAATAAGATTTATGCGAGAGCTGAGGATGAAATTGATGAGGATTTAGTGGATGTAGAAAACGAAGGAGACAACGAAGAAAATGCAATGACTGGCGATGATGTGGAACCTGACGAGGCAAGTACAACATCTCCTGACGCAGATACTCAACTTTTATTCGTTCGTCCACTCTACAATGCAGGCACTCAACTCGAATTACCGTGAGTTTTAAAGTTATTCTTCCTGGAACTTAATTAAAAAGACAAAAATTTCACTTTTTTTTTAGTGGCGGAGTTCCAGTTGAATTTTTAATTGGATTCAAGAACAAGGGCTTGAATGATTTCATCATCGAAAGTGTCGAGGCTTCATTCAGATATCCAATGGATTTTAACTACTATATTCAAAATTTCTCAGCTATCGCTTATAACCGTGAAGTTAAGCAAGAAAGTGAAGCAACAGTCTCATACTCATTCATGCCATCCGAATCATTTGCTGGACGTCCTTTTGGTCTCAATATTGCCATCAATTATCGTGACTCAAATGGAGTTCCTTTCGTTGAAGCTGTTTTTAATGAAACTGTACTTATCACTGAATTAGATGAAGGTCTTGATGGAGAAACTTTCTTCCTTTATGTTTTCTTTGCTGCTATTATTGTCTTATTGCTTGTCGTTGGACAACAATTCCTTGGAACAATCGGAAAGAAGAAGCGCTCACAAACCATCCGCAAACAAGTTGAAACAGGAACATCAAATAGCACAGACATTGATTATGACTGGTTACCTGCACAAACACTCCGTAATTTACGTAAGTTAATTTTACAATCATTATCATATCTGCATGACTTAAAAGGAACTCTTTAAATTGCAGAAAGCTCGCCAAACGGTAAAGGAAAACTTTCACCAAAACAAAGTCCTAGACAACGTTCAAAACGTGCAGCAAAAGAGGAGTAAAAGACGTAAAATTGTTGATGAGATTCATTAGAGAGGACGTGCTTCTCTGTGTCACTTACTAAATAAAAATACACGATCAACTTGCTACATGTTCATTATTTGATTCCATTTTGCAAGATTTAATCTAATAAATTTAGAATTTCAAAATATTCTTTAAGAACTGAAAAAGATACCTAAATGATAAAAATAAACTGAAAGAAAATTTTGATGAAAAGGTTGTGGAATTTGAATTATTATTGTTTTAACTTTAGCCCTTATTTATTTATTTATGCATAAAAATCAAATATAATGCTTTACTTTTCAACAAATTTTTTATATTTACCATTTTGTCTAGGAAAAAACTAGAAAAAACTTTTAGAACATCCTAAGCTGTTGAACATATCATTCAAAGTTTCCTATTCTCTCTTAATTCTTCTTTCTTTTTGATTCTCGAAAAAGGTTTTACTTTCTGTATAGAGCTAAAATGCTTATGGCAAAGAAAAAGATATTGGAACAAAATTCAAAACTTTCATGTCTTCAGTCGCGAACTTTTTACTTTATATAATAGTTTTGTTTAAAGTGGAAATAGCAGGAAGTGAAATTGACTCAAAAATGATGGAATCCTACTGTTGGATATAAAGTTTTTTTTATAAAACGGATTTTTTGAGTTTGAAAAAACATTTGAAGGTATTTTAAAATTTTAACTGTTGTAAGGTTTTAACGGAAATGACTAAACATTTGAGTGGTTTTCGATTTAAAATTTCCAAATTTTCAGCAAATTTCACTTCCTGGAAAGTATTATCCGGTAATATAGAGGATGCATAACTGATGAGCATTTTTACTTTGCTGATGACAACTTTTTCAGACACATTTCATTGAAATTTTTCAGTAGTTTTTCCCGAAGTTCTTCTCGCTTCTGTTTAATGTCGTCTCGCGATTTAAATTTCATTTTCCACGCTATTATTTCTGAATCGGGAATGAAACATTCAACTTCATTTTCATCTGTCGGATCTGAACTCTCGTCCTGCAACATAAGCAAAAAAAATAATTTTAAACAAATTTCTAGAGAATAAAAAATTATTACGTGTCTTACAAGCATCTGTTCCAGCGTTAAGAAGCTCTCGATCTCATTTTCTTTGACAACCCGACAGCAAAAATGCGAACAGGCTACTTCACTTCCTTCAGGTGTGCTCGCAATACTTGATGTCCTAGAGGAATTGTTATTGGATGATGATAAGACTTCGTGTTGCGTTTCTGAACTATATCCGGCATCGATTGATCGCTGAGCACATTCCCCATCGTCGTGACACGAATGACAGGATGTCATTGATAATGTGTCTATTTTAGTCTCTAAATTTTCAATAGAAGCACTTCGAGAACAGCTCGTTTTTTCTTCATCCGAGTTATTGTTATTATGATTATTATTATTATTGTGTGTATGATTATCTTCAGCCGTAAGTGAGGACATTTTGCTAGTATTTAGTATAGGTGAAATGAAATCAACGGCATCTATAATAGTTCCATCGCATAGAATTATTTTGTCCTTATCATCATCGTCCGAATTCATTTCTTCATAGTCATTATTATGACATTCGTCCGAGGAACTGTCACATTTATCGACAACGAGCTCTGGATCACAGCTACATAAATCTTGATCATCTTTTGATTTCTTGTCAGCCCGCTGCTTCTTGCGTTTCTTATTAATCTTGCGCTTTTTAGGACGCTGTTCATCACGTGAAATTTCATTATAAATGAATTCTAAATTAACACCGCGCTTATTTTCAACAGCCACATCAAACGAACGGCACAATGCATGAACAGCAACACCGGCGAGAAGCTCACAAGCATTTTCTTCTTCCTTGACACATTGCTGTAATTTTTTAAGACGGTTATAAATGCACATCCCAATACACGTTAAAACTTCTTCTTGGGCTATTTCCATTGTCTTTGCATGACGCTCACGATGACGCGAATGACTTCCAATAATTTCTGGCTCTGCACGTTTAATTAAATCATCAATATACTCAGTTTCTGTCGGCAAATGAATATGTTTATCCTTTAGACATCTCTTAATTCCACTATATATAGCCGATACATATCCCTTTTCTTTCTTTGTTGGATTTGATTCACTCATTAATAATGTGAATGCCTTCTCAACTTTTGTTCGACATTCCTGACAGAATTTATGCTTCTTCAAATAGTCATCTAATGTTGCATGCAATTCCAGTGCTTCAACAACTGTAATCTTCTCCTTACAATTCTTTTTCATACACTGCCATGTCTCGTAAAAAGTCTCTGAGAATGGACGTGCAAAGGGTCTAAATGATTCTAGTGAATGTAAATTGCACCTAGAATTTTTCTTATTTCTCGGCTGATTCTCGAGCAACTCATTAAGCTGAATATCATGCTCATATAACAAGGTACACATAAGCTGGGATGATTGTAAATACTTATCGCATACAGTTAATGTTCCATTTTTAATTCTTATTGGATCTAAAGTCGCATAATTATTCGACATTATTGTCGTGTATAATCGCTCAACACTTCTTCGACATCCAACACATGGAACTGTCTGACTCAAGACATTCTGGAACTCGCTTGTCGTTATTGTAAGTGAATTTCTGATTTCTGACGGTTTCAAAAGCCTGTATTTCTTATCAAAATCAATTAGGGCTTCTCCTTCAATTACATCGCGATCAAAGATTAATCCTTTTTGTCCTAAATCCATTACCATCTGAAAAGAAACGTTAATTATAGTGTTTTATTTTTTAAAACTTTCACATTATCAGTAAATTGTCCTACATAATCATATATTTATGCTCAACTGAAAGTTTTATGATTCTAAAGTTCATAATTGTGATATTAAAATGAGTTTTGGACACATGATCTTGAGAAATAAGTCATTAATTATTATCATATCTGGAAATATTCTTTCTTGTTTACGTCAGTTGTTCCGAAATTTAAGATTCCGTAACCTGAATTCTCACTCCATTTTGTGTACGAAAATATTTTTTTGTTTAACTCCACTACCAATACAATGGATCAAAACTTTCAGGACATAACGATAGATGAATCATAGTTATGTCTAAATAGCTAACTTACCATTAAATTTTTATCACATTCATTAGACGAAAAGGCTTTTAATTCATACAGACTTTGAAGTGGAATTTGTCTTCTTTTATTGATGTCCGATGACTTTTTATCATCACGATCACGTAGTATAATAAATACATTAGCCATTTCAGTGTAACTGGCTTAAATAACTTTAATAAACACAAATTATCTCTCAAATAAACTTTTCGTTTTGTGAAATCTAATGAACTTCCACACATTAATCTGTTCTACTTCTACACATCCAGCTAGTCATGAGATAGTTTAGAGCACTTTTACGTACCGTACCCGCTTTTTTAGGGACATCCAACTGATGTCTTTATCAACATCCGGTAATCTTTAATTTTTCCCATTTTTCTATATTTATTGGAGATTTTGACTACCTTTATGTACTTAATATGCATGATAAGCAATATTTTAACCATTTCAGTAAGATCCAGCCAAGAAATAAAGTCATCAAATGACAATTTTTTGTTTATTACCGAAAATATTAGCACACTTTTGTATTCCCTATTTATGTTAGAACGGCTTAATTCATAACAAAACAAACTACATGTAAATAAAAACATACAAATTCTAGAATTCTCAAAAAGAATGAATAAAAGTAGCTCTGTAAAGTTTCTCTGTCATAAAGATGAAGATAATTTATCTCCAATCAATTCTAAATTTTCTGGCATCTTCAACAAGTCGCTGTTTGCCGATAAAATCAATGATGATCCAGAAGAAAAAGTAAACAACCCAAAACAACATTCCGAAGAATCAAAAAAGGAGTTGAGCCTGTCTGACTACTTCAAGTCATTGCAGCTGTGAGTAAAATTTCAGTTAAAAATGATTAACATTTATAGTTGTGTTCGGAAACCTTACAAATTCCGACATATTAAAATGAAATTGTACGGATTTCAAAACCTTACAAATTACTTATTTGACTCATCAACTCTAATTTAATAATTGTTTAACAGACTTCAAAACATAAACGAGAAACAGCTGAAGATATTGAAGAAGATATCAAGTGTCGTGCCTCCAAATGAAAATGGATTCTTGACAATGAAAACTTCATCGAAAAATCAACTCCAAAATGTAGTTTACTACAACCACGTGAGCTCAAAACTTATTAATTATAACATAATTGAGCCATCACAATTGGGACTGGATGAAAAGAAGGAGTTGTCAATGCAAAATATAGACTTAGTTCCACCGAAAAGAAAAGTTGGAAGACCTAGAAATGAGGACAAGAAAATTTTACAAAATTACAGTTATGATCCGTTCCATGCTAATCCATTGAATCAAGATATTTTAATACATAAAACTAAGTATGGACGGTCAATAAAATTCAACACAGAAGTAGCAAAAATGTTGCAAATTGATCAAGAGTCTCAGTTACTACACAAACAAAAAGTACCGGAAAAATTAATAGAAAGCATTAAAAGAAACCCAACGGAACCGCTTGAAGAAATAGACAGACCAAGAAAGCAAAGAATAATTTCTTCAGAATTCAGATGTGCTACTTGTAAAAAGGTTTATCTTGGCAAGAACAAAATGAATCATCATTTCAAATTGAATCCCAGCCACAGAGTTTTCTCAGTGGAAAGTGACTTGTTTTCGCATTTAATGAAATTAGTTCGACAAAAGAAAAACAATCAGGACATGGCTAATGTATTCTTCAAAGAGCTCTCAAGCTTTGTTCAGCAGTGCGAGAAGCTAACGCCCAAGTTGATAACAAACAATGAAAATCATCTAAATGTCCACCATCATGTGATTGATAAAAATTCAGCAAGTGTCTTGAGAATCAATCCGGGAGAATACAAAATTAATATGAATGTTTTTGATAAGAATTTCAAGTTTGATAATCCACTGGATCAGGTGGAAAATGAAGAAGAGAGGAATATAAGCATAGAAGAAGTACATCATCAAAATATTGAGCATGTAGCACACGGCAATGAAGTTATAAAAGTTCTCGACGATGTACCAAGTCTTGATGGAAATGAAGTCAATTTGCTGATACCTCAATCAAATGAACTTACTCATCTCACTAATATTAGTGACATAATAACAAACAGCGAACATGAAGGAGACAATGCACTTCTCGGATTTTTAAATTGAACAGCGCTGCATGGATGTTTTGTTTTTTTGACAACGACATGAGATATCAATTTTCATCACATCTTAAATTCATGATTTTTCATAAATGTAGTCATCGCTTCGTTGACAAAAAAATGAGTAAGACAACACTTGCCAAAAGTTTCACGTTCATTTTTAACACTTTTCGACAAACATAATCAATTACTAGAATTAGAAATAAAATCTTGTGAATATTTGTGTCGATATGATGTATAAACTGATGTGTTATTAAATATTCAGAAATATAGCTTCTTTGTAGCTTGTCATTGACGATTTTAGGCTCACGCACTAGATAATAATTAAGCCCTGAATTAAGCATTATTCACCTGTGGATTCGCGAGTAAAAACGCGCATCATAAATAAGAAAATTAATGGAAATGAGCGCATTATACACAATTTAGAAATATAAGGAATTGTACGTACTATATTCGAGTTTTTGAAGTCGTAAATTTGGATTGCTGTGCATTGTATGTGAGTTGTTGCGCATTATGTGTGAGTAATTGGCGTATTATACACAAAAATTGAATAATCTTGAAAAGCGCACTATAAATAAAATCTTTGAACATGATACTGGGGGTCCTCGATTTGAGTAGATTTGATTTGAATAGAAATATTTTTACCCACCAAAATATTCGAATTGAGTAAATTTCTTCTTCTTTTCTTCGAATTGAATTGTTTACAAAACAAATGTTTTTGACAAAAACTTTTCAGAAAATATTTTAAAACATAAATTTTAATGCAAAATCGATATAGAAAACTAGTGTATCGGGTAGAATCCCAATGCGGATATATTCACACCGTACCATCAAAAGTCTTATGGATAGACCAAGATTTGCTCAGCATAAGTTTGAAGGGTGGACGTGAAGTACGGCCGAGACCCATATCGACACAGTTCAAAAGATATACCTAATTTATGTCACAATTATGTCAGCTACAAAAACACTTAGTTTGAATTTTGTCACCCTCGGGAACACTATGAACCAGGATAGCTGATTTTGGTCCAAATCTCGGCCATACTTCACACTTATTTGAACCACATTTTCTCTTAAATGTTAAAATATTATTAAAAAAGGAATTAATCCTGAATTATGTCGCTATTTTGTCAAGTGTTTTAAGATAAAAAATTGGTTTTTTGGTTTCCACAGTAAAGAGTATGAACAAAATTCAGATGGGGTAGTCGAAATTTTAGATTTCGATTTTTTTTAAGCTATGCATTACAAAAAGTAATATTTGTATGTGATTTATGTCAGAATTATGTTAATTCAAATAAAACGTCTTAAAATTTTTTTGAGCAAAGAACCAAGTAGGAAATACATTTTCAATTTTGGACTAGGGGCGACCCTAGTCAAAATCAATTTTGTCACTTTTTTCTTCGAGGATAAATCCAAATACAGTAAAACTTTGTATGAGCATTCTAATCTTCAGTTCACACATTTCTGAATTAATAAAAATCATTTTTTGGACAAAATTTTAAGTCACGTTGTTTTTGAATGTACAACCAAATTTATAAAATTTGGGTCTGACGACATATAGAATACATTTCTTCCTTTAGATATTTAAAACTGTTTTGTATAAATATTAGTATACTTACTCAAAGTTTCACTGTAATTGGATAAACCCTCGAAGAAAAAAGTGACAAAATTGATTTTGACTAGGGTCACCCCTAGTCCAAAATTGAAAATGTATTTCCTACTTGGTTCTTTACTCAAAAAATTTTAGGATGTTTTATTTGTATTTGTTTTAAGCACTAGAATATTTATGCAAAGTTTCAATCCATTTGGATAAACCCTCGAAGAAAAAAGTGACAAAATTGATTTTGACTAGGGTCGCCCCTAGTCCAAAATTGAAAATGCATTTCCTTCTTGGTTCTTTGCTCAAAAAAATTTTTTTCATCCAAAGTTTAATTTAAAATAAAAAAAAATCACAGTGAACTTTTAATTTGAAAAATTCGTAAGAAAGGAAAGTTTTTTGCTTTTTCTGAAGCAACGGCTGTTCCTACCTTGCCCAAAAACAATACAGCTCTTCCATAGAGCAGCACGGATCAAATTTAAAAAACTAGAAGTCTCTACGATGTCTCGTTATTGAGATTTCTTGCTGATTAACTTGCTTGCTTGCTTGCTTGCTTGTTTGCTTACATAAAGCGTATTTTGCGATTTTCTCAGCAATGCCACAACCAATTTGAAATCTGTTTTTTGAAAATGATGTAAAATTTTAGGCACAAACTTTTCTTCTGTGACCTTTTATAACCAATTTTGCTTAGTTTTCTCACAAAATGCGAAAAACTGATTTTTCAATCTGAACAAAACCAATAGATTCACACGTGAAAACGGTGTGAATATAATAACGGTTTTAAAAAATTCAAGTTTCAAAACCTTACAAATTGTTCGGTTAAAATAACATTTGTAAGGTTCTCATATTTTTGATCTGTTGAAAAAACTTATTTTTTGTGAATTTCTGTTAAAATCACATATGAATATGCTTTAAAATAAATTAAGTTATCTAAAACACAAAAGAAAAGTTGAAAAACGAGGTAAAATGTGCAAAAAATTATAAAAATTTTCATTGTTTTGATACATTTTTTGGACTCTGGAACAAAATAAGTGATTTTGTATGGATTCATTGCCTCGATTTGAATAGATTCGATTTTAGTAGAAAATTTTCGAAACAAAATAACTACTCAAATCGAGGACCCCCAGTAATAATTGAGTAAAATATACACAAATTTACCACGTAAAGAATTAATGCGCATTATAAAAGAATCTTAAACGTTTTTTCAAATGATTCCATATTTTTTAAGATAACAATTTATCGAATTAAGAATAAATTTTCAATTATTTTATTGGAAGTACATCCGAACAAATGGAGTATGTTATCTTTGACACATCTTATTTCACGTTGTTCTATGCACAAAAAAAAATATATTTTGTATTAACTTTTCAACATATTTTTTTATATCGTTTATCTCCTGTTGTTGATGTACGGTAATTTTTTATTTCGTCCTTATCTTATAAATCGTAAGAATATAACAATTTTTTTTTGTTTTAAAAAATAGCCCCAATCCATGAATTATAAACTTCTTATGGAAATGACAAACCCTCGAAAATCTGATTAAACTTTCTCAACATTGCCATTAAATTTTCCTTCCATTTCAAAAAAAAAAAAATAAGACAACATATATACATAAGCATTTTCTTTCTTTATGATGCCCTCGTTCACTACACCCCAGCTATCATCAAGACTCCTTCTCGAGAATGAAAAAAAAAGAGAACAACTCATGGTGTATAGAATAATAGTTCTAACAGATGATACCAAACCACAAAAATTTGTTTGGAAAGAGCAAACAATAATTTTTGATGATGTTTATCGTTTTATGATTATGAAAATTTAATGGACGACGTTTCTTCTTCTTCTTTTTGGGTATGTTGTTGTCTTATGATGATGAAAAAAAAATTATATACGTTTAAGGGGTCGTTTACTTATTATGGAACTGACTAGGGAGGTGCTAGGGTTTTGTAACAATTAAATCAAGAATGTGGAATTACATAACGTAATTAATGAACTGGCCCTAAGATGATGCCTTCTTATATTTCTCTTCTGGTTTAAGGACAGAGAAGTGCTCTCCTAACGATTTAAGGTCATGATTTTCCTTTCCATATTTTATGATTTCCTACAGATGATAACATGTTTATACGATAAAGAGCTGAGGCATGGAGAGTAAATTGACAAGATAAGGCATTTATATACACAATATGTATCATTATATCCGTAATAAAAATGCTTTGTTGTAAACATTTAATCTTAAAGATTCAAAAACCTTGTTGTCCTTTCTTCCTTCGTCTCACACTAAGTTAAAGGATGACTAATGCATGCAACTAATGTAAAAGCTCTTCATCAAAGTAATTTTCCTTGTCTTAACGACTTATATAAATTTTTTTTTTACTCTTCTTTATGGCATCATGTCTTGCAAGTTCTTCATTATTTCACACATATATAAATCTCATGTCTAAATTTACAATCAAAATGCACTTCACGAGCTCATGCATATTTCATTTTAATGATTCATCATAATCAGAGCATCAATAAACCTCAGAAAATGTGGATGCTTTAACATGCTGTTTTAATGAACTTTTCTGACTGTGATTAGAAAAGTGTTTTGAGGGGCTTTTTGGTGTCTGTCAACACGCTTCTAAGGATTTATTCTGATACATCCTTTTAAAAAATTCAGCAACAAAATAAAAGATATTAGATCTCTCGAAATTTGTAACAAACCGTAGCATACTAATTGCATTCCTACAGAATCGAGGTTTGTGATTCTTTAAGCTGGTTTCATGGGCAACTTATGGCACCCTACTCGAGATAGTGATTTTTCTTAAGTTATTGACCTCCAGGATCAATCAATTAGGATTTTCAATTTTAAAGGTAGTGACAATACAATTTACAATTTCAATCACGTTTTTATCAGTTTCATACCCTTAAATGGACGATACTTACTAAATATCTAGTTTCCATACAGGAACATTGAGTCTTTCAAGACCATAATTAAAAGAAGTACTTTAATATCATCTTTAAATGCTCAGAAAAAAAGGAATGTCTAATTTCTATAATAAATTTGCATTATCAACACTGCATCTTGCTTTAAATTGCTATATTCCCTGAAGTACATAATCTAGAGTAAAAGTTTGCAGACAAATTTAAAGATTTACAAGATTTATAAGTCAATAAGGCTTTAAAAATGCGCCAAAAACCTTAAAAATTCAAAATCATCCATAAGAAACTTGTTTTTCAGCTCACACAAATTTTTACGACTTGTTGTTTCTTTTCCTTGTTCATTTCCCATCAACAAAAAAACTCTTTTTTCATTCCCTTCTTCCTAGAATAGCAGTAAGAATGGCAGTAAATTAAACAACATAAAAAAAAGTCTATAAAAGTAAAGGAGATGTGAGAGAAGTGTGGTTGCATCTGAGAAGACATAAAGTAGCGTATGTAAAGAATTCATTTACCTATGTATATATTACAAACACAAAAAATAAGTATCACGCTCGGATTTGTTTAATTTACGATTTTCGACGTCTTAAACATGCCACAAAAGGATCTTTGTCTTATCAAAACAGGAGAGCTTTCTTTCCTTTTTCTCGTTGGCTGTAACACAATATGCATATGTTTACCATAAATTTGTCTGATTTAGTGGCTTTTTCATTAATAC